CCCATTGCAAAAATGGTAACTCGGCGTTAATTTATCGGGTTGCGAAGAAGTAACTCGGATGCCAAGTTGGCGCACTGGGAAGATCGATGCAAAATCGTAATGCCGTAAAGCTCAAACTCAAAGAATGAAGTGCCATTTCAGGATGCAGACAGGTGTGATCGAAACGTTTACCGTAAACACATATGTTACGCGTACGAAATCTACAGTACTTCAAGAACGGGTTTAACTTTCTTGAAATATTATACAAAGTGTGAATAAAAATGCGATATTAATTGGTACATTAATCTATTTCTAAATAAAATAAAAATAGCACATACTTATAAGACAAAATTGTGTAATATGAATGTGCAAATGAACGTGTTCTTATAATTTGTCCAAAAGATATGTACATCTTCGTAATCTGGCATTCGTATTCGGTCACTGAATAAATGTTACGCCAAACCGGAATGAACAACCAGCGGAGATCGATTTGATTAATGCCATCGGTTTTGATTAATGCGCCACTGATATTTGCATCATTCATGCGCCGTGATCAATTGCCAAAAGTGCATCGACGTGCAGCTCAAAAAATCCGACTTAAAAAACATACAATCTGATTCCATCCAAGACTTTTTGGTATTCGGCGCAATTTTAGGACGAAATAAATGTATTTGTTTTTATTGGCACACAAACTTGAAATTTAAATCACTAGGACGAATGATGAATTGGGCAATTTTGGCAAAATCACGTTTGGTATTCCTTTTTGGTGGTTTTCGTACGCTCGATAGCTGATTTATCGCATTTAATGACAGTAGCGTTTTACGGCTACGCATGCGGTTTACAATGCGCATATACAAAGCAACATTTCATATGATCAAGCACTTCTGACTCTTTAACACAACGCTGATGTGGAGCAGTCCCGACATTCTGCATAATCACTTTCTACATCTTGAAGATACCGGCGCGAAGCTGCCGCACACCGCTCTTTACGGCGGGCACAGCTACCCAACTACCGAAAGCGTTGTTTTCGGCGAACATTGTGCGACGTTATCGTAACGATCGGTAATCGTTATCGCGACGATAAAAAATAAAATGCTTTGTAGCCGAAACGTGCTCCAACGATGAGCATCGTAAAAATGCCCCCGTAATGATTTAATAACATGTCGATAAATTACAAATCTAATTAGACTGTGTGCAGTTTTTGCACAACGTGTAAGCGTGCCAAGCGGATTGTTAACACGTTCCTGCCCGCGAACATATTGTAAAAGATGTTAAACATGTTAAAAGGAAGGGCGCACTCTTTATAACGGAGTAATTACTGTAATTATCATAAATATACATTTTTCGGGTGAGGCCTCCACTGAGCCGCACAGATAAACAATAATTATTAATCGCTTTCCAGCTCGTGAGCGCTAGATTTATTACGTCAAATTGTCCGATCTTTAATTTTTGTTAAATATCCATCTACCTCACACAGTTTCATACTAAACCTTTTTACCGTTTGATGCGCTCAATGCACAAGTCAAAATATTGAATAAGCAAGTCAAGTTGTGCATTATTTAATTTTATATCATACTTCTATTTCGCTGTTGCGTTTGCAATTTGCGGGCAGCTGATTGATCGAGTGTATCGAACGGTGCGCGCCTGGCGTTGAACTCTTCGTGCAAAAAACGGATAAAAAGCCGGACAGGCACGGCCGATGTGGAAAAGCAAAGCGCCTTGTTGTTTGACTTTTGACATGGAAAAATATCGACCACCTACCTAACGTTTCTGCTGCCCGCACGGCACCGTGATGAACTCGGTGTCCGCGACTTCAGAGACGAAGCGACCGGCCCCGGCCGCAAATGTAATTTAATTCCAATTAAAATTGCGAGCTTGCTTTATTCTAAGCTCTTCTTCAGAGCTGAAATTTGCTTAACTTGTTAACTTGCCGAGGTGAGATGTGTGGCCGTTATAGTAATCAAAGGATTCAATAAAATTCAATTTGTTATTAATTAAGACTTAGATTTTTTTCTTTAAAACACCCTGTAGATAAATTATACTCTGTTAATTTTTTTTAATAAGTGTACAAATTGATCGACGCTTGTCTTGATGATTTTGTTTCTCTCTTCCATGCTGAGTTGGAGATGGTCAGTAGTACAGAAACCAGCACGGGCATATCTCATTTCTTTACATAACATGCGACATGACATTTCAAAGCGCTCATTATATCGAATGCGTTTTTTATCGGCGAACGCGCGCTGTTTGGTGATACCGATAGCCCGAGCGCGTCGGTTGAGACCGCAAAGCGCACCAGCCCCGTCATTAAGTAAATAAAATTGACTTATGTCTGTCTGTTTGTTACTCGTTAGCGTCGGTTCGTCCGTTCGTCCAAACCATCGAACCCGCAAAAGCATCGATGGACGTGGTCACACAGCACACGATGGACGGCCGAATAACTCATGCGAAGTGATAATCGACATTCAAATCCGCGAAATGTCGAGATAAAGAAAACGGCTAGTGCTTTCTCAGATTTTATACTTAGCCTCAAAATGAAGCTTAGCTTTGAAATGACGATATATTAGTTTTTGGTAAAAGTTTACTTCAAATCTTGAGAATTGCTAGTAAATATTGTCGGATATCGTGTCTATAGCTGTCAACGTGGCGTCTTAAATATCCCAGTGAAACAAATTGGCGCAGCGCCAGTACGTTTAATAACTCGATGGTCAATTAAACTCGACCAGTGGCAATAAGTCATTGTAATAGTATATTATCCATGGATGCCGACGCTTGATGTATTGGTCGCAGACTGCGACATTTGCTCGAGGTTGTTTATGCGTACGACGACTTAAAAGCTTGATGGAATTTTGCACGTCAAGATGATCCGCAGATCATAGAATGTTCAATGCAAGGTGTGTAAGTTTTTGTGCGACAATAAATAAATAATTAATTATCCGTTACGAGAAGAATAATTTATTAATTTATTGCTTAGCTGGAAAGTGCGTTAATTGAAAGTTCAGAACTACAGCAGTACTGCTAGCAAACTTCCCCCACCTCTTTTAGCAGGTTGCCCGGAGTCATAAAAGGGCTAGCGCAGCGAGCAAAGTATTCAGTCGTGTCTGAATCATCGAGCTGTTCAAATCTACAGATTCCTTCTCCTTCCTACTTCTGCAGAATTGCGCGTTCTCTGACGTGGTAAATCCATAATTTCATTATTTGCAGTAAGATTTGATTTCACAGTATGTGATACACTTATCAAATGATAAAATCTATAATTCTTTATTTAATTAATTGCAAACTTGTAATGATATTTGTCAGCGCCAGTTATTGCATGCAAAGCAAATTAATACCTGCGAGCAGTTCTATCATGAATATCTTCAATTTCCATTATTTATTCACACGATCAAGAGATTGTGGGCATATAGCTAGAAGTGTGTCTTCATTTTTCCTAACATAGTGTATCTACTCGCAGCGATAGCTGTAGGTATGTATACGCCCAGAAATGCAGTAATTTACAAACCAGGCGCAACTGGTAGGCACGTACATTAAGTTTTAATGTGGAAAATTAAGTGCGTAATGCAAACGCTTCAATGTGTGTCTGTCTAATGGGCGTGTAAACATTACGAATTTATTCACCGTTGAAAGATATAGCTACGATATTGTCATTGTGAACCAAGAACAGCAAATTGTGATTGGTTGCTTGACAGTGAGGAACGAAAATTACAAAATTACAAAAGTAGAAGATAATCTTCTACAATTTGAAAGTTTCATGTACAAATTAATTTATTCATTTTTATAAATGCGTTGTGCTTCTTTCTCTCGAAGTTTTTCTTATGTATGTCTGTATCATCGTGGTTATCTGACTCACGATAACGAGCAATAATGAAAGACCAATCAAATATTTGATAATTACCGGTGTAGAACGCTCGCGCCATTACCAGCGCTAAAAAATCCATTTGTCGATCGCATTGGGGCCGACCCGACAAGTCGCGCGCTCCTGCACGCCACTGCCGATACTTTTACCGAAACGATTTAATCGATAAATCAAATTGATAATAAATGCTTTTCAAGGTTGCATTTAAAGCTGGTGGGACCATGGGTGTGCGATGGTTGCGCATTCCGAGATTACACTGGTGCAACTTATTAATTTCAAGTTATCAGCGATACATATTTCGTGCTGTCCCAGCGTTCAAGTACGGATTAAAAATATTACTCTCCACGAGCACTTTAAATGATGAATGCTGAACATGATGTGGGAAAAATGAAAAGCCGCATTTATTTACGACACTGCAAAACATTACAAATGACTCTTACTCAAACTGGACGACTAGTGTTTTGCGCTCTTCTTCTTGAGACTTCGACCAGTGTTCCAACAGCGATTGTGTCTCCGGGTTTTAAGTTACTTTTCAATTTTATGTTTTTATTTTTTGTGTCCCCGCTGCATAGCGCAGAGTGTCGTTTGGTTTATTTATTTGTTGGTGTTATTTTTTTCTTTGTGAGGCTCACCTCGTAGTAGTACATCAACGCAAGCGTCCGCAGCATTTCGCACATAAATCACCACCGGTCTCGTCGATAATCGATAGAAATAAAAAGAAAGACGATTATCTTTTTCACCGCAAACTCGGTATCCCTCTGCGAACGAGACGATTCGTACGAAACTGCTTGTTTGCCATAGCGGCCAGGTGCACTATTCCATGCTTTTTGTTGAGCGCGCTGCACCGCAATGCGTTTATCCGCATTTTTATTGCGCGTCATTCTCGAACGTTTACATCTTAACCAATTAGTGCGAGCCGATAGCGTGGCGATTCGCGATGTTGCATGCCGATTATCGCTAAAAATTTTGTCGCAAGGTGTGCTCCAATTAGGCCGCATCATCGCTTGACATTTGACACGATAATCAACCGGACAAGCAAACGAATCGCGCACGTCTTTATTTCCTCGGGCGCAAGATTTACCGCAGAAATATAAAGGAAATGAAAGGTCAGAATTTCTAGCACATATTAAACATATAGGAATATAGAATTACAGGTACAAAGACAATGTTTGCATATTTTATTTTTATTCGTTTTTCATTTCGCAATTAACCATGCACATTATGCGATAGTTGTCGCAAACAATTTAAGTTACGCTCGTTTAAGTAATACATTTTTATTGCAAACGTCATGTTTTGTATTTCATGGGCGGTTAGTTGAAGTTAAATTTTAAATTTCACCTGGCGAGGGTTATGACATATTTACATTTATTTCATTTCTGGATATTATACATTTAACACGAAGTCGCTGTCAATGTTTCCTCGTTGAATGATGGAAAGTTACAGAGGTTTGCTAATAAAATGTTTATAGCGTTTTCGATTCGACTAGGTGGCTAATATTCTAAACTTTGGTCACAAATTTCCCTTACTTGCTAGGATTCGACTATAATTAGGATAATACGTTCGTTATCAGGCGTTATAGTAGTTATGCTCTGTGTTTTTGCATTAAGAAAATAGAATGGGGATTTTAAATTTTATAATCTATCATGACTCAAAAACTTTCAAATGTTAAAACGCCATATCTACACTCTACTAAAATACTGAATAATCAAATTAAAAATCACGATAAAACAAATCTAAGAAGAATAGTTTTCGTGGCGTTTTGACATTTATGAAATTTCTGAGTTTCTTTTGATTAATATGAACATTCTTACCTTACTAAACCATTATGTTTTTGTTAAACCAATGCGAGTTATGTACAATCATAGAACATGTAGTTTTTCTAATGTCTTCGCTGCGTAGCTATAGTTTACCGTAAGCTCAGAATTCGAGAGTAAAATCGTATTATCCGATATGTTATCATCAAGTCAAACATATAAACTAACCCCCTCCACACAAATCAACTTAAATAAATACATTTGGACATAAGGAACAAACTCAATGATTCAGTATTGTACAATAGTGCTTGTAGTAATGACCATCTATGATAAGTCTAAGCAATGTCTGAGGCCGTCGACAGCTTGTATGACGAACTGTCGCACATGGACCGATTCTCCATCGCCAACGAGACGGTTTCGCCGCATTGGATCTCTTCTAATTCACTTTCTTCAAGCAAAGGAACTCCTGTAAAATACAAGCACAAAAAAGTTAACCGAAGTTTTAAAAAAGCATGTCCAAATAATTGAAAATTAAAAAGAATCTCATCCCACATTAAGTGGCTTCAGTCGCGTGCGTTTGTGCTACCCTGGGTTGCGCTTACGTTACGCGATGCCCATGATTATAGGTAATGGCATACCTTCGGTGTTAAGTACGGAACTGGTGTCGAAAGACGCGAGGCTACCGCAATGCGCACGGCACGACGCCGGCTGCGAGCCGCTGTGAGAAGACGCCGTGTCGAGCGTGACCGTCGTCGAGTTCTCCGAGACGGCCATCGTGTCGGTGGAGCCCATCGGATCGCCGCCCGAACGCGAGCTCGCCGTGTGAGATGCGCTGTAAAAATAGCACAAAACCCTACATTATATCCCAATTTAAAAGTAAAAACCGTTATAAAAAATCATTTACATGCACATTTAATATGGTAATCACACTTTCAGGACGAAAAACTGGAAAAGGAAAGGAGCAGCCTCATGATAAATAAAACAGTATCATGGTGCTATTAAATTAGAGTTTAAATCTCAATCATCCCCATGAAAAATTGCGACAAATAAGCATATAAATGAATAGAGTACTGATAGTTAATAACTAGTGTGAGTTGCACAAAGAAACAACATGAAAATACATAACCCGTAATTTACACCGACTCGACGTCATTTACACATTTGCACTTGGACGTAGAGAACGTCCTCCAAGTGAGAAATGCACGTTAACATGTCCATCAAGTTGACAACATCGAGAGGCGACAATTTTCGAAATAAATGATGATCAAATGACCGATTTGCATACTGCATAAAATGCAATAATTTAAATAACTCGCATCCGATGCGATGCTATCAAGTTATCTATCTGAAGCCGCAACACCTACCGAATGTCAAGACAAATGTCGCATCAGTTTTCAATTTATGATAATCTTAAAAATAGCGTCCAAAGATATCAATTCTTATGAGAAGATGAAAGTATAGACTGATATAAAATTGTTATCTTCATCAATAGCCGTCGATATGTTTTTTTGTTAATGTGTAGGCTGAGTGTAGGAAAGTTTAGCGATGCGAATGATTTGGCAGATCGACAATCTTTCGATAGCCTTGCTCGTGACAGTTACGCATTGGACGTGCTTTTAATTCACCGATTGTGCGAGAACGATAATGCGCGCTGCTTTTTCATTGCTTCCACGTCTCAGAAATAAAAGGACACCAGCAAAAATTATTGTTATTGCTTGCAGCGGCGAGAGGGTTGCTCGACATCGTTTAAATTTAACTTATGTGCGCGAACACGCACGCCCAAAATGCGCGCCAGTATCAATATTAATGAGACGCGTAAATTTGGCCCTCGCTCGTCTTTTAATTCGCATTCTCGCATTTAATTCGCCACTTTTATTGGTTTTGTTGCATGCTCCACTGCGCCGACAACGCTCGCATTGCGCCTCATTTTATTTCTTCATTGCTATCGCAGTGTTATTAAGACGTTTTCATTATGTTTAATGCATTTTAATGCACGTTTAATACAAGCATCGATTGCTCAATGCAAACTATTTTTTTTATCAGCGCACCATCGACTCGATTAATTATTAATTACTTGATTGTGTAACCAGTGCGCACGCTGTTGCTGTTAAGTTGCCGTTAAGAAATTGGGGCAATCAAATTCATATCTGGTATTTTCGATTTTTTTCTCTGTGCACGTTGCGATTAAATGAGCAAAATCACGATGAAATCGTATTTTTCAATGTTCACACGCCTTCGTGATCAAAACCACAGGGATATTCGCGCTCTCATCTTATGTTAACTTTAAATTCCGGATCGTTTACGATAATTGACCGATCGAACAACAATTCCAACGAGTGAGTTAGCTCAATCGCGTTGTCCTGTCTTTAACTTTAAACGTTTTCCACGCGCCCGTCCGCGTTTGCATTACTTTTTGTTGTGATTTCCATGCACAACATATCGAAAGCGTGTCGATGATGATTACACGGCTCCAAGATGACTAATGGTCACTAAACGGCGACCAAACAGCTCGATCGCTGCTGTCAATGCAATGCCAATGCTCGCAACGGCTGGTTACACGCGGATCTTGTTTGAATCGAACGAAAAAAAACACGTAAAAAGCGGGCTGGACATAAAAATACGTCTGCTTGGTTGCGCGCGGCACTCGAGGCGAACATCTTGTTAAAATGCTTCCAGAGTGCTCATTTCGACAATTATTACGCAAAAATTATGCCGTCCACTCTTTGGTTCGGCCGCGATGCGAATGAGAAACATTGCCACGGTGGAAATCTGGCTATTTCACGTACTGGTATGCCGTACGCCTCATCACCAAGCACTTGGCTGGTAATTCATAAAATTTAGGCGCCATAAATTATGTTTAAAGATTTTATTATACACGCGGAACCATTTCATTACAAGTTAAGTAGTTTTATGTGAAAGCATAAAGCTTTTTAATGACGGAGCAACATAAAATTCAACTAAAACAAAAGTAAAAACATTACTTTGCAATAAAAATACGAAAAATCCTAATAATTTAATCACTTGCTCCATTAATGTTTAATTTTATTTGCACTATTATATTAGACACTCAATTCTCTTGAATAGTTTATGTTTGACCGCTACTATGACAAGTTAGTACCAACATGGAGCCGCAATATTAATATAGGTAATTTATGATTGATCTGGTTCTGCGCGCTCAGTGACGACAACGACGGCACACTTTTTACGACTATATAAAGTGTAAACACATATCGAGCGCAATAAACAAACCAATTAATCATTGTTTACAAGTAAGGTGTTCGTTTTATTATATCGCGAGTTATAAATGTAAGCCGCAATACGCGGCAAACGTTGAAAAGTTGAATGATTCTTTGCTTCGGCGCCTATTACGAGTGGTAGCGCGTGCCAGCATCACTATGCTTTCAATATGGAGTAACTTTTATGCCAAGCCAGCCCATTCAAAAGACGTCGCAGTATAGGTACTTATAATAACCGCATTAATAGCTTATAAACGCAACGTTTATTTAACGTTAATCGTCGCGCATTTGCATATTTTAACCTTTTATGGTTGCACGCGTTGTCTTTTTACGCGCTCCGCTGGTTTACGTTTTCTATGCATGCCCATGCATGCACAAATACGAAGAAGTTGCAGCCGAGTAAGCATAATAGCAGTGCTTAGCCAAGCCACCTGGTAAGCACATGAATGAATTGGTAGCTCAATGATATACGAGTAAGTGATTTGCTCGGTTACATCAACTCCTGCTAGTGGATACCGATTGAGTAGCACTTGACTCGGTTGACTTCTTCAATCACAGCGCACTTCTTCATTCAGTATCGTTTAAAATCAATTTCACATTTCATGCCAAAAAACAGAGTTTATTATTGTACTGCACAATCCCCCAGTGAAGAAGTGCTTCTGAGAACATGCTACTAAAAGCTTCAACCGAGAATTTGTTCGTCGTTTGAGGTACGGTGAGAAACAATTCGTGATCTCTTGGACTGTGTTATTAGTCGTTGGTTTGGCAATATATTATCGGCGGGTGCTTAATATTAATAATTTGAGGTTCTGCGCTCGTGTGCTCGCGGCCCGACCCCAACCATTATTTGTTTTTTCTTCGTAGTCGTGAACGTAAAGCCCTGCGAGTCTCGCAATGGTCTACGATGGGAGGTCAACCCTTTGAACCCCGAACGATGGTCGTGTCGCCACTCGCTCGCCGACGCGGCGCCCCCTTCGCGCCCGCATTCAAGTGTATTTTATTATGTGCATTTGCGCCCATCCCACCATTGTCTTCTTCTCTGCACAAGCGACGTATGAGCTTTTTGTTTCACTGCGCTAGACGCCAAGCGCTCATATGTTATAGCGTTTGATAGATTTCGTTCATCTGTGTACCTGTAAGAGGCATGCACGGCGCATCGAACGTGAAATTCATATTCATGTGATAACAATAAAAGCATAATAACAAACATGAGATGCGCGCATAAGTGTAGTTCTCGTGTGGCGCCGATTTACTCTGAGACATTCTATATTTCATTTATGTTTTTATAGATATTTTTTAATTAATTCGATTTTTTTAAATGTTTGATCATTATACTATTGAATTACGTGCGTCAAGAATGTTTTCGGTTCACAATTTGCGGATGATGGCAGTGATGAGACCACGTGCAAGTGCCAGCGCGTAATTGCCGCATTAATTAACGCAAAACGGCCGAACACGACCTGCGTGCCGATTCACAATATCATAATTTCAATCCGTTTTGCGGCGATGCGCGTCGGCTCCGCGTCCACCGACAAGCGACGCATAAATAACGACTTTAAAGTTTAGAGCAGCGAGTGCGCCAACTTTACAGAGCCGCCGCCGTGCCAATTCGAAAAAAAGCAATCAGTGAAAACTAATATGCGATATACAATCATGCTGAAACAGGCGGCGCGCGACCAAAAAGAGAAAATGCGATAATAAAAAATAAAAACGATATCAAAAATTACGAAGCCCCCCGTGGCGATCAAACAAGTGCTCGAATTGTATCGTGCATTGCGTAAGCAAAGCGGGCACGCAGATTGAAAAGGAGCGCTAAATGGATCCAAGGAGTTCTGCAACGAACTGTAGGCCCAGATGAAATCACTTACAACGAGCCCTGCCGCGTGAAGAGCATATTGTCAGGATTTGGCGAATTCCGCGACCGCCTGCCGGCTAATGAGGGCCATGGGGGTCGCTGCAGACGCGCCGCTTGTGCGCCGATGCCGCCGCTTCGGTCTCTGGTGGCCTCCTCGTAAGTGGGCAAACCGGACTGCAACAGAGAAAAAGCACACAAATGAGCCAACGCACAACAAATTATCTGAAATCAGAGCGTTATATCTTAAATCTACATATGATGAACTATACCAAACAACTCACCAATCGTATAAAACTTTGTATGAGTAAAAGACGTGTGTAAATTGTCACGCTAATTACGCTTTATAATGTCTCAATAGTATAAGTACTTGTGCTCATGTATTTAATGCGCATTACTATATAATACTAAGGTAACGGCGTGTGCATCGCTTCGGAACGATATAATAATAAACAAAAGAAGCGTTTTGTTATGTTGCGAGCGACCCTTTGAACTCGGGAAAGGCGACGGCGTCCATAACATCATCATTGACGACGGGCGCCCATCATCGTAGCAGTGAGGTGATGACGGTAATTAGGATATGATTATAGGTGTAAAAGAATAAAATTAAACAACGACATTAAAGCGAAGACAATCGGTCGTTAATGGTCGATAAAAGGTGTTAAAAATGACCACACAAGAAGTTAAAGAGTTTCGCTACAAATAAAAATGTTTTCTTAGATTTCCGATCAAAAATGTTCACAATATTATTATAAATATAACATTATTAAATGATTGAGCGATTTCTGTTCGCATAGCTAAAGATAGATCACGACTAAGCGCTATAGACGTTGCTCAAATTGCTACAATTTTCTCGCTCGCATATAAACGCGAATAAAACAGATAATCAGCATTCGTTTCATCTTCGTAAGCACGAATTATTCACAGCTACTCGTGCAAGAACCGCGAAGCAATGTGCCGCAGCAAATCCTCGCCGCACGAACACACTGATCAAATTACTCTATTAAAATGTAAAGAATTTTCAACTACATTTTGCACACAAACAGCAGACATTACAGCACGAAGAAAAATCAATCACCGTACCTAATATACCTATAAACGCTAGTTGGGAGGCGTTGAGCAGCCAAACGTCTAATATTAACCGCACGCCAATGACGAAATTCGATGCAGACATAATCGAGATAACACTAATTTAATTTACACAAACGGTGCGTGCATACACTGTTGGTGATGCATCGTGTGGCATGCGAGATGCATAAGTGAAATTGCGTTGTCCTTCCAAGGCGTTGAAGCGCAAAAGTTCACGTTTTATGCCTCTTCCTAATAGCGACTGCGCAAGACTCAATGTAATTTAATATACTACCGCAGCGTGACGCGATGTGCTGGCGAATTTATCACTCCAACACGTTTAATTTGCTAGTTAATTAAACGGCGTAATTGTAATTTAAATTTAATCCGAATGCCAAATTGCGAGTGTGCAATTACGGTAGTGTTACCAGCGTTACAAACACACACCGCAAACTGTAAAAGTATGTGGAAGGCGGTTGGTACCCGTATATGGTGAGTATTTATTATTTGAATCATGTGGATCTGATTCGACGTGTGAACTAAGCAATCAAAAACAACGCAGAGTGGAAAGAAAGTATTTGAAATATACGTTTTTGGATGTGTGGATCAGAAAAAAAGGCAAACACAATGCGGCGTTAATAAGAACAAATAAGCGTCGGCGATCAGAGACGGAGCGTGCTGGAAGGTCACCCTGTGATCTGGTGAAAAGAAATCAATTTCATTTCGTCCGATCGAATCGAGCGTTTTACTCGCCGCCGGTTTGGCTCTTTCATTCCTTTTATCTTTGCTATGGTAGCAGTGATGCGCGTTGGATGTGCAAGGGGCAAGCGCGGCCAGTATGTACGTGCGCTCGAATCGAAAATATCGATTCAATTATTAATCGTCGTCGATATCGTTTCGCACTTTCGTCGACGTCGGTCTCCTCTGCGCCGTAATAAATTAATCGGAACGAGAAACTCGATACGTGCGCGATGCATGCTCGATATGCGAAGGAGAGAAGTAGGTAAGAGCCGAATATCCGGAATGATTGATACCGACGCGTCGCGGCCCTGCACGCCGAAACTTTGATTCCTCCTGGCGCGATCTGTTGCCTGTCCGATGTTGCTATTCACGTCGCCCAAATGGGGCATCATTCTTCATACTTCATGCACGCATCTTGAAAAGACAATGGGCGACTACCTCTTACACTGAATGTTCGCCTTGGATCAAAAATTGCTCGATATCGAAATAATTGCAATTACTTTCCATACATCCGAAACGGGTGCATTTCTTTAATAAATTTGAAACTCTCCGTATAATGCATATGCACCAACGAAACATAATAAATGAAATTTGATTTGGTTGCTTGTATTATTGACGTGTGGACGTTCAAAAATCGCATTCCATAAATTTCAGCGGCGTTTCTTATATGCGGATATTTTATGAGAAAGAAGGAATAATGGCGAATTTCACCTTCACGTAAAATAAAACACTTTCAATTTGAAAATGGCGTTTAAATTTCACACCTCATTTATGCATAAAAATTACTTTAAAAACATGCCTCACGAAGTAACATTGTTGCTGCAATGTTATTGCAACGGTGAAATATTTTTAGTAAAATAGTGCATCTTACTGCCATCTCGGAATGATTTAGAACATCTACAACGTGACCTTGCATAAACACAATTGTTCGGCTGGTTTCTTTGTATCACTGAGGTAAATGATAACGCTCGCCCGGATGTCAAATCATCATGCGCGTTCTTTAGAAACATTTCAACGCGGATTTTTAAGATTTTTTGTTAAGTCATGAGTGAAAATAAATATAACTAACTGTGACAATAACGCATTAAAAAAAAAATTAAGATGTAATCAATGAATTACATCATTTATATAATTTTTCAACACAAAATATATTATACAACGCAAAAGAATGACTGCTAATAGATGACTAATTTTTAGCTAATTAACTAAATAAAATTTCACAAAATTAATTAAATAATAGAAAACAACAAAAAATACGTGTCACGCAGCAGTGCCAGTCATTGTCGCCTGCGATGTTTATCCTATTTGTTTTTCAAAGTTTGTCGCTTTCTTCTGTTTCGTGCTAGGCACTCGAAACGGGTAAAACTGGCAAAACATTCACACGCCGCCTGATTAGAATCGCGCGGCGTGTTTGCGCGTTGTTTGCGCCGCACGAGACGTTCGGCCGTGGTACAGAAAATTCATGGCCTTATAGGGAAGATGTTTGCCTAGTTTGCGCTCCCATAATTATTATTGATAGCCGCACTAATAGAGCGCGCTCAAATATATTCCGCTACTTTCCACCGCCGCGTGCCGTCAGCACGATGCTGCCAATTGATTACTCAATGCAAACGCATGCGAGAGCGAAAAAAACAACGCAAAATTAACATTAACAACGCGCGACAGTCAGCTTCGAGCGGATCAAGCGAAGCGCCACCGAGACTGCCCCGCTTTCGCGGCTTCATTAGAAAATAGCGTAATTGCAATCAACCACTCTTGACACCATTGCATAATTCAGTTTGTGGCGCTGTCAAGGTGCTGTCGATAGTCACAAACAAGAGACGTTAATACCGCATGACTAATAAACCAGTACCACTTGTAAGATTATAAGTGAAAGTCTTACCTGCCCGACCTGCATGCCATCCGCAAACGCAATCAACGCAAGTCGGTCCGGAGGGTGCAAAAGACTCGCATGATCTGCAAGATCAGAACGTGGCACAGGAGGTGGAATCGCCACTGTGCGCGAAAATGGTTTGCGTTTCCGGCAGACAATAACTAGACATGCAATAACCAGAATGAGGAGAACCACAGCTCCCGTCGCCAAGGAAAAAATAATAGGTTCACCACCATTCGTCTCCACTAAAACAACAATTAAAATATTAAGTTAAAACAATTTACAAATACAACAATAAAGAATACATACGATAGTAATATCGTTGCTTGATTTTGCACACTGGAGGTTCGACGGGTGTCCAACAGCCATTTGAGGAACAATTTAAAAATATGTTACCCTTTAACTCATATTCGGGCATACATTCATAGGTCACTTTCGTATTGATAGGATAGTGACATTTGTTGCCTGTCTCTGTAGTGGTGACTATCAATGAAGTAGCCCAGGATACTTTCGGCGGACAATCACATTCATTTGCAATTTCTACAAAACCGAAAAAAAATTTACTCTCAACACTTCGAAATACAACTATACAATGAAAAGCGTACAGTAAGTGTTTACTTAACTTTACTTAGCGTAAATGATAAAACTTACCACAACTTGGTGGCATGCCCATCCACTTGCCTTCCATGCAACGCATCCGGGAAGGCTCGCACGGATTGTTTGCATTTCGATATTTTGGCAAACAATTGAATTCCACTTCAGTGCCGGAGATGACCATATCATCCAGGCGATTTCCAGCGATAATCTTGCTTGTCGCGTGCGGATAGCTTTCTGGCAGAGGGCAGTTAGGTTCGTCTGTAAATCCAAGAAAAATCGCATTATTCTTCATTGCATAACATGTCTGAATCCAAGTGAATCCAAAATATACGCTATGATGATCGATTCTTTACTTTGTACATCGTACTCAGTGATTTGCGGTGCGATGATGATCGTGATCCTCGCCGCGTTGATAAAAGAAATGACACGTCGTAAAAAATCACAACACAATCGCTGAGTTCGGCGGAACGAAACGGTGCGTTTCGTGTGAATGCAACAATTAAATGACGATAATGAACTTGTTAAAGAGCCGAACGAGATGAGATCGCGCGCGGCGAGCTGCCCGCGGGCCTGGCCAGGGCGTCATCTTGATCACATAATAATCAATTCTTTGTGTTAAATAATGGTGATTATCGGGCGTCTTTCATTGCGCGCCGTAGCCGCGCGCGTCGTCGCCCGCTCTTTATTTTTGCCCTTTTGTGTGCGCGCCGCGTTTTTTGTTTCCTCGCCGGCCCGCGGCCCGCGAGACCACAATGCCCGCGCGAGATGTAATCAACAAGTCATATTGTACATCACATCGCGCCCTAGGTTGGGCATCGCAAATGAATTGCTGTTTATAATGAGGAGCGACAAAGAGTGCGATCGTTAAAGACGCGGACGACGTGAGAGGACAGGATCAGATTTAAATGAAATAAAAAATTATTTATCGCGAATATTCATGATATGCCAATGAGACCCCCAATGTCGGAGACAATTGAGTCAAGCTCGCGGCAAGCGCTTTGTAATTAGAGAGTATGGTTTGCTTAATATAAGTGATGAAAGCCGACAGTGATTTTTATTGATTTTTTGTTGTTGCGAATTGTTTGGCTGGAAAGTGAGTGTTGTTTTTGCAAATATGAAACATGTCGCGGTCAGAATAGACCGTGTAGGTGTGATGCGAATGACTCATTGATATTAAACGCATAAAAAAGCGATAAACAGAAATTTAATTAAGTATGTATCAAATGGGATCGTTTGTTGAATATATGCACTCAATTTTTAACATGCTAATATGCCAAAACTCTGCTTAATGCATTCATCCTCGGAGCTCTTCACTGATCTCAATTTACTTTTTCGATTTGGTTCTCGAGGCAAGCATTCGATAACACGCGTATTTCTGTGTTTTTGTGTCATTTTACACGCGGGCGTTTCGCAAAGATGCCAGATAATGCAACACCATATCTGCGCCCGATGTCCCGGCGAAAAACGCTTATAAATTTTTCGGTTTTCGAGATTACCACGTACGATTTCGTCGTAAAACTCGACCAAACCGACAGCCAACATGCGACATTTCGGACGCCGAGATTAAATCAGCGCGAGCCGAGCGAGCACAACGACGAAAAACAATCTTAAACTCAAAATAATGCGGACGGAAATCTAGAACCATGACATGCATCAAGCGCAGAAACGCGTCCGGTGTCCACAACTTCACGTCACCATCAGAGATACACGTGGTGCACGTGGGCCCTATTTTTATGCGTATCTAAACGCTAAAGACAACAAATCTAAGCACGCGAGCTAGTAGAAGCTGAGCCCCTCATGTCGGCGCAAACGTCATCAGTCGCAGTCGGTCAGGATTAAGATTTAATTTCCATCTTCCTCGGTAATTAAATATCTTGGCGTATTAACCAAAATGTGTAAGCAACAAAAGCCCAAAACGACAAGTCGGACAAGCATTTAATGCGCCGCTTAACATGAACTCGTAATTAATTGTTTTCTCGCGTTTCGCCATACGTGCACCGTTGCTTATAGATACAAATATTGTACTCAAAGCAAACATTGCGGCGCGCCCGGAGAGAAAAATACAGTCGGTACACGGTGTATGTCCGCCCTCGCAAACGTACCCAGCCGCGAGTTAGACATGTCGACAATACAAAACGTCCGGCTGCATTCAGCGCGCTCGTACATTTTCCCTGCCGCAGCTGACCGCAAGACAAAACGTCGTACGCTCGTTGCCTTTTTTTCTGCCGTGGAGATCTCCAAACGAGCCGGCGCTCTTTGATACCTTTTGATACTGCACCGCAAACGTTACATTTTCCACGTGGGAGGTCACCAAATATCTGTATTAATGCGCCGCGGTATCGCATATTAATATGAAACGCGTGCGTCTTGTTACGAACGGTCGCGGTCAGCCTGAATGAGACCAAAAATATAACTTTTATCTGTCGTCCTGCCTGCTTACCTGTCTCGCGAGCCGCTCGAGCACAAAGAATATGTTATAAATGCATAGACATTAAGCTTAATCGGACATGAATGTTAATGTCGACCGTGTTGTGCCCTTCCCCGGATTAATTATAGCCACCCTGACTGCACAAAGTAGGGCGAACAGTATCACAATGGCAATATTGTGACGGACAGAGATAAAAAGGATGAAGAAATCATATTAAAGTTGCGACACGTGTCCAGCAGTCTATGCATGTTGTAGGAAAATGACATGCTAATAAATTTGCGACTTATAATATTCACGTCTTGTACTATTGACAATATTGAGAGCAAGAACACTAAGAAAAATATAAGGACCAATCTGTTATTATAAGTGTCAAAAGGATTTAATTGAAATAAATTGTATTAAAACTTGTGCGAAAGAGCCTAACATATATTTGCAAAGTGATACTGTACCGCTAGAATATTTTTAGTAAAATAGTGCATCTTAGTGCCATCTCGGAATGATTTAGAACACCTTCGACTTGACCTTGCATAAACACGTTTATTCGTGACCGTAAGTTGTTTGTTTCTAATGATAACACTCGTATTCGTGCAAGTTGAAACACTTTGCGTGTTCTTTAAAAACAATTGAATATTTTTATATAAATAAAAATTTTACTGGGAGTTAATTCCATCATTCGGCAATTCATGAAGCAGATTTTCATGAACAAAGACTCCAATACAAAACACTAAATACTTCCAAATGATACCTAGGCCAAGATATGTTTTATAAATAAAACTAGAAAAGGTAGCTGCCAAAACCTATGCAAGTCTACACAAAAACTGTATTTAAAATTGTATTTCAGAACAATTTCAAAGTTGAACTGGAATTGACCCTGATGGACCACTTTTATTGCATAAGAAAATGCAATTTAATGCATTTTTACAATTCCGCTTGTTATATTTGCCACTTAAGTTTACAGCTGCTGTTTTGTAATATATGCTTACCTTCAACAAGACATTTACAACTTAAATACGAATAAAAACTCCCAAAAACAACTTATTTTTAGATGACTGATGATAAGAAGTTGGCAATAAGATTTTGTGTGGATGCATCTTATAACATGTAAGCATAATTTATTTTATTAACAGCATTTAAATATATTGTCACATATTGATTACATCATTCAATATTATATTCAATAATCTTTGTATCTCATATTTCTCATTATAATCCATGGTTCACAACTGACCCCTGACTTCATATACATGTACGCACTTCGTAATCTGCATTGGTAATTATCATTATCTTAGTTTACAATAGTTTCCTTTGTTGCTAGACGTCTTCTCTAATTAATATTTGATAGTATGTACTTGCTTATAACTATTTTTTTTGTTTAAATTTATTCATTTGAGTTTGTTAGTAATATTCATGAGTTCCTTTCCTGTACTTTCTTCGACTGCTATCCGTGATCCTAAGGATTGATATTTAGTTGTTGCAATATACCACACATTGATGTGATGACACGAGTTAATTGATGATGTGAATTCGCAGCAATTATGCAACGAGGCTTAGTAAATATTTTGGTTAATAATGTTTTTGGTATTTGCTTTGTCTTCCTGTATAGTACGCTATTGATAATTATATCAATTATTTTATAATGACCAAGTGTGCTCGTAAACCTAATTTATACAATCAATGTACGTGGTAGTTCTTGTTTACTTTCTTTTTCGTGTTGTATGTTTCGTCATTTGCGTATCCTTTTGTTCGTAGGGGACGTGAATAATGTCATCGCCAGCCAACATAAACAAAACGCGTTCTGCTTATTAATTACTTAATTTATAAATATCCTCGTATCTATGTTGCGTACCATTTCAAAACGTATGTTTTGTTTCATTCATAGTTCTTCGTAATTATTTACAAAATAACTCATCGTTGCACCTATGAACTACATTGTTTCTACTGCACAAGGCGTACACAATTCAACAATATGCACGTTCAAGGAAGTTAATTAATTGTATTAGCAAATTAAATAATTTACAACACAGCACGACAGAATAGAGCAAAAAAATAAATAACAGATTAATTAAATTAATCTAACAATTGTTTACAAAAATAAATAATTTGCGTAGACTTTAATTTGTTTTAGGAACGTATTAGCACTCTCCTTGAACAAAGTGAAGCACACAAGAGAGATAATTAAAATTCATAGACTAGCTCAAATGAAATTCGAAATGTTGCAAATGGAATGTAAAAATATAAATGCCAAAATGTTCAGGTTGAGTTGCACCTTGAATGATCCACGCATTAACTTAATCATAAATGGTGCATACACCACAGATCTTTAAAATTCTGCTACTTATTAACTATCTTACAACATAAACCAATATAATGGTGCATCACAAGTATTTTTAATCAACAAAAGTATACTCCTTGCTACTACTTTCTTCTAGAGTGTATGTACATTTTAATGCTCTGACTTCCTTTATGTTTATGAGGAAAAAAAGGCGACAAATACATTTACAATGCAAGCTATTCTCATTCATATCGCGGTTTGAATGACTAACAAATTAATTAAATTAATTTTTGGCTCTTTGTAAACTAAAGAACGAAGTGTTTTACTACTTTCTTTGCGTAAAGTAAGTATTTCAGCAGATTCGCCGCATTTAGCAATCCTACAAATTGCCAAATGGATCGAAACTGGCTTCTGGTGGAGGTTGGGCCACTGGTTGAACAGGTGCGCCCATTCGAGGACTGCCCATCGGCTGCATACCGGCGGGATATTGCATCGTTCCTGGCGCGCCCCCCATAGGGCGAAATTGAGCACCCGGTTGCTGTTGTTGTTGCCAACCACCTGCGGTCGGTGCTGTGCCCATCTTTGGCTGATTTTTCGGCGAGTTCCATTGATTTTTGCTGGAGTCCATTGTGAGATTATCAACCAGGGAAGACAGACTGCTCTCTAGATCACCAGTGAATAACTTGGCTGGTTGTTTCTGAGGTTGTGGTACTGCGGGCTGAGCTGGTGCCGCCACAGGCATGGTGCCTGGTGGATCAAATACAGAAGGTTCGTTACTGTTGAACACGCTACCTGTGAATGCCTGAGGTTGCGCCTGTGGTTGGAACATTGGGTTAACAGGCTGAGCAGCAAATCCGTTGGACCAATCTTGCGCTGGAGCAGGTGCTGGCGCTGGTGCAGCAAACATATTACCGTTTGTTGGGGCTGGCGCAGCTGTACCATTGCCAAACATATCTTGGAACGGGTTACCGCCTAGACTAAGTAGATCATCCAAGGCGCTGGTTGGTTTCGCTGGCTGAGGTGCTGCAGCAGGAGTGGGTTCAGCGGAGAATAAATCAAGAATTGCTTGATTCGATACTGGAGCTGGGGCAGCAGCTGCTGCGGCTGGTTTTTCCGGCGAGCTCAAGAAAGGATTGGTGCTTGACGGACTGCCAACATTAGCCTTGTAGTGATTCATCGCAGCTTCTTCTTCAGAAAGTGCTGCTTTCAAAGCATCATCTATTGAACTGCTTGCAGCAAACGCATTGCTAGTGTTAGAGAGCGCAGATACACCGCTTTTTAGACTCTTTTGATTACTGGCTGAAGTTGGAGTGTTGCCTTCCAGTGAAGCCAAATGTTGTTCAAGAGCATCTAAAAGACTATTTGGTGCTTTAGTCAAATCCGGAATGTCACCTTTATCAATGCCAATATTTTCAGCAACTTTCAAGAATTCGCCCACGCGATCCATGCGGATTAAAAATTTCTTGTATAAATCCAGGGCTTCCCTGCATTGCTTTTTGTTCATTTCAAAATATTTCTCCAGCAAATTAATGATTCCATCATTGTAGCATGCAAACAGGCGGATTAGATCTCTAAAAAGTAACATAAAGCACATGTTGATAACACCATTAGTCAGATCATTTGCAGTGCAATCAAATTCTAAAAGAGCATCTAATTGATTCTGTAGAACTGGAAGTGTCTTGAGTAGGTTCTCTGAATTCATCATTCTCACTGAACCTTCCTCCTTGCCTCTCTTCACCTTGCAGAAGTCAAACGCTACCCCACGATACGAGAGGGCCTTCTCGTTGAGATAACGCGCGTATCTGCGTATGAACGGCGACATGTCATAGCCGGTGCGTGCCCCAACAGCACTTTGAACCCCCGTCTTATCGACGAAGTTCGACAGCTGAAACGATACGTTGCTGGAGGCCAGATACTGTGTAAAACGCTCGTTACCATAGCACATGACGTGATGCGTTGTGATCAACGCCTTGTAGACGACCACCCAGCTGGTGCTTTGCGACCGCTCGATGAGCAGGTTGGCCATCTGCGGAATGGAAACATTCGGTTCGTTGGTACAGTGCACAAGATAGTCGAGATGCTTCTTCTTGGGGCCTAGCAGCTCCTCGGTGGTCGCCTTGCACACGGATTTAGCGAGGCCCTGCCCGGCGATGCTGTGCTTCGCGGCGAGTAAACGATCGTTTATCGTTTGCCCAGCCATTTCGCGGATGTCTTCTACACTGCACAACGCACTTTTCTCGACGACGGCAGGCACACCGACACAGCTGAGAGTGTTCAATTCAAAAGAACGTTTCGGTGTGCCGTGTACTGAACGGGTCGATTACGAGGAATCAGGCCAGTATGCACATTGAATCAATACGTCCGACCGGTGACATCTATACGCCGCAAGTAGAAAGCGCAACGAAACGTAAAGCTTCATGTACACAAACACTATTTCGTTCTACAGTAAATTATTACAAAGTAAGTCATCAATTGTAACTTTGTTGTTCGATTTGAACATTAGTCATCATGTATTTATAATAAAATTGCAGATTAACAATGAACCAAACTAAGTAGCTTCAAAATGCTTCAAGTTTGGTTTGAAGATTAGTGTGTGCAAGCTGCTCTACAACGAGTCCAAGGTCATAAATAATTTAAAATTTGTTTTTAAATTCCTTCCAAATGACTACTTTTGACTCAGATGCATAAAGTAATGAAAATACCACAGCTAAATAAATGTATACTTAAACTCACCTGTTAAAATACACTGAGGTAAAACTTTGGGAAACCAAGTTCCATCAGGCAAACACTTTAGCACTGCTGCACCTTTCAACTTGTAGCCACTCTTGCAATAATAATGTACAATAAATGTATCATCCGGGTCCAACTGCGTCATGACACGCTCATGCAGAAGATAACCATTGTCAATGTCTCTCAATGGTTTGCATTCTGAACTCTTTTCACTCAACACACAACTCACATTGGTGCCTGTCCAAATGCCCTTCTCACAAACTCTATACTGACCATCAGAAGGCTGAAGTAGATACCCATAATGACATGAGTAGGTAGCAACTGTTCCTTTACTGTACTTCTTGTCAGTCCCCAAATTCATATCAATGTCAACATCTCCATTGGATAGTTTTGGTGGTGGATGACATCTTGCAATACATTTTGGATACTGATCAATCTTCCAGGAGTCATTGATACAGAGGATCTTTGGTGGTCCAAAAAGATCATATCCTGGATTACAGCGCACGTGAAGAACTTGTTGCAGATTACTATAGTCATCGGCTTGTTCCAGGCTTATAACACCGTGCTCTATGTCGTCAAAAGTTGCACACGAAAGCGTCACCAAGGCGCTCACGGTGTTATTGGTATGCAGCGTGCTTAAAGCATTAGTACCGCCGAGGTGAAAAAGCAGAAGAAGTAGTATGGTACACGAATGGAAGTCGTCGATTGCCATTGCCATGGTTGTTACTGATCTATATGCAAAGGACGACTCTCGCCTGCTTGATCCTGTTTTGTTTTAAACGGCCACGTTAATGCATAATAGCCAATTTAATTTGACCTGTTTGTCATTAATGCGATGCACACTTAATCGACGCCTCTCAGCACTTCACGCACCTCGCGAACGCCTTCAGCACAAAAAGCAATTCATTGTTTTGATCACATTCACGTTGTGCACGGACCGTACGGACGGTACGGATAGTAAACTGAAATGTAAGTCGTTTGTGCATTGATCAGCTGATCGAGTCAAGGCCGCTTCGTGTGTAAGAGACGTGGGGGGAAATCAAACTGCGTGCGTTGTCGCTGAGTTTTGCTTGCAAAGTGCAGACTGGCGACGCCGAGCGGGAAATGGAGTAAAGAGATTCAGCAATTTTGGGTTTGGTTGGGTCGGGTGGGCTTGCGAATCCTGCGGATGTTATCCTTTGTCCTAGTTCAGGCCCAATGCAAATTGCTTTGACCTAGAATGCTGAGTGCATGTGTAATTGGGATGAGTACTATATTGTTTTGTGCATAATAAAGCTATTTGAATATATTCTAATAAAATGCATAAAGCAACTTTAAAAATAAACCAAAAACAGGTGCAGGATATGTTATGCAAAGCAGTTTTCCTAATAAATTTGCTTATATTATAAATATGATTCTACAAGTGTTCTTTGAAGAAAACAATAAATTTTCTGAATATATTCACAATAATAACGCAAAACACAAAACACACTATTTTATTTTCGTAAACGAAGATCCTTGTTAAAAACAACTTTTAATTATACCAAAAAACCTCTGCGACTGAGTTTATAAATAATTCAATCATTATTCAGCGGGGTTTTATTGAATTAGGTCCGAAATCCCTGGAAGTTGTAATGTAATAAAGAAAATGAGTTTTTAATTAAATTTCTTAATCATTATCTGATAAACTAATAAACAAGTTGGCACTGCAGAGCAAAAACGAATAGTTGACATGTTGAAACGGCGGTCTGAAATGGCGACGGCTGATACGACATGACGAGGCGAATGCCTGGAAGATATGGGGAATAAGGTCAATTTTATACGATCACCAGTAGTACTAGGGTCGGCATGGCAACGGGGGGATCGCTTGCCGCCGCCACATTCCAGCCGTTTCACTCCCCCGACCGGAATAGGATATGATATTAACAAGAACAGCCGGCGCGCCGGGTTTAAGATGAACATGGATGGATGCGTCTCGTCTTATTAAATCATATCAACTTACTGGGTACAAAATAATATTTAGAAACAAAACCAAATTATTATAAAAAAAAAACTGAAAACAAAATTGCAAATTTACATATTTATATTATCTAACATTAAACAAGAGAATGCAATTTCCTCGTTTGCTGCAAAATAAAAATCAATGTGATGTGGAGTATATTACACCAGGATAACCAGTATACATAGTGCATTCGTTGCAATTTCCGTATATTTGTATATGTATTTCAATATAGATCGCGCATTTCCACTGCACTCATTTACATAGTAATAGGTATTACAAAACATCGACATTTGTAAACATCATTTCTGCCCGACTCAGTCCATAACAAATTGTTCAACAATACGAACATCAATAGACCTATCAATAGGCAATAGTTATCCATTATCCAATTCTCAAATTGGAAAATGATTTATAACAGATTTGCATATTTTAATGGTATTTTTTGGCCTCTTGTTTTAGTTATATTAAATTTGTTGTTTATGCGTTAGTTGCCTTTGACTAGGTAAACATTTGTAGGGGTTTTATTGGAACAATTGGGTGTGTAACAAGTACGCAAATGTTACTTCTGCATGGCAGTGGCAGCTCTAACATTATACGTTTGTTTTGAGATGTTTCAATTATACTCTTATTGTCTCTTAGCATAGTGCTAAGTTGTCCCAGGCACAAGACGCGTCATTACAAGTTTAGTTACTCTTCTTTCCTAGCTCCTTTATCATTATTTTGTAGTATTCATGCGGCGCTTCAATTTGATAAATGTGTTTACCATTTTCATCTTGAAAGTCCCCGTAGTGGACTGCTTTTGCCGTAATCATGCCGAGGCTTTCTGCAACCCGCTGAGAGAACCTACTTGTTGCATCCACTTTCATTAACTGTAAAATAATTGCACTTAGTTTTAAGTTTAAGGCAAGATTAATTATTTTCCCATTACTTTATATCCGCATTCCTCGGCAAGCATTTCGCTTCTGGCAAACAAATCCTTTGCAATGCCTTTGCCCCTAAACTTGGAGTTCACTGAAAGTATTCGCAACTCAAAGATTTTATCAATCCCATACTTTCCGAAGAGGTCAATCTCTTGGTTGGTATTATACAACAAGCCGAAAATTTGTTTGTATTGGAGATTATCAATGTCCTTCATCTCTTCGATAGCTTTCTCGTTGTCGCCTTTGTTCGATACGCCGTTGAGCGCTACGCCTGCTATCTGCAAGCAAACAGGACTGTGAAAGAATTTGCTGCGCTTCATTAAATCCTCGTACAGGAAGGACTAGCGCTTATAAAAAGCGAAGGAGCGTGAAGCCTCGGAGCGCGAAAGAATTCCAATTACGACGTGGATATGCCGAGCTATTGTCAATGGGGGTGTGGGGTTAAAAGCGCTTCGGGTTAAATTCCAGCGCGCTATTTTTTATATTTGCGGGTATTTTACGTATTGTTTTTGGTGAAAAGGCTTGGCAGGCATCATTAGCAGTTACTCATTTAGTTTGATTCTAAAGCACATTGAAATAGACCACAAGAGCAAAATCATTTTTGTCTATTAATTATTTAATTATAAAATTTGAAATTATAATTGCACTGCTATGTAGAAATGTATTTTTAGTGTGAAGTATTAAACATATTTCTAAAATACCTATCGAAAATTATTCATACCTCACCGGTAATTGGATCGTAGGCCATGATAGAAAGTCCTTCTTCGAGAGTGTGTAGATCGTGATGTTCCAGCAACTCACATGGTTCGTTTTTCTTACACAGTCCAACACATTCGTTCAAGGGTTCGTCGGGGAAGTGTTCGCGCAAATGTTCGATGACCTCTTGAAATTTGTTGGCGCGAATTGGTGCGAATTCCATTTTACCTTTGAAGTTTTGAATTTTCTGAGAACTATAATAAATGCGAAAAGGAACCAATAATTTACTCATTTTCCCCTTAAAATGTTCTTAAACTAAATTTTATATGTAATGGCTATAGAATTATGTTCAAATTAATTTTACAATAACAATGTATTTTAAATTAAAAGTAAGTCAATCTTCTTCAATCAATGGAATTTAAAAAAATAACAAAAAAATCTATGCCAACCAAAAAAATGTCAAATTGTTTTTGCTTTGCCCGCCAATTTAATTTGATTCTTATGTTAGTAATGTGCATGGCGCAACTGCCTGTTTTAAAAACTTATTTCAGTTCGAATTATATCCAACAAATAATAAAAAATTCTTGAATTTCATTTGTTTCATTTGCTTTCAATCACCAGCAATAGAAATCAACATATTTAGATTTTGTACTAGCTTCTTACCTGCTGCAAGATATTTTTGAACAAATTATTGCAAGCAACCTGTAGGCTATATGTGATGTCAACGGCTTAAAGGATCAATTTAACAAAGCTCTTCTTACGTTGTCAGGCCAGTAGGAGCAAGACTTTAGCTTATTCTTAGATAGGCCTTTTCACGGTGAGCTTTCGGCGCGTACTAAACAGCCGCCTCTGAAATTTATATCGCTCACCGTTTCGTCCTCTGCTTCGTACGCATGCCATGCGCCCCGAATCGGGGAGTGGAGTCCTGTCGCCTCCAGCAACGCCCGGGATCATTACGGGCACGTTGGGAATGCGTATCGTATCGGCGCGGGCATTCGCGCACCGCACTGCTACGACCAAATGAAATTTAATCAAACGATCGACACGCGGGAATTTAGGAATGTCAAGTATTCGGAAATTTCGGGTGACTGATGCGGTGATCGCGGTGGTATTTAATTCTTTAACCGAAAAGGAATTGAATGGAGGCATTACTTTTCATATCTCAATTACAAATCGCCAGTTATAAAAGGGTTTAAATATCATATGTCAATATATCTGAGAGCTAAATTGTTCAATTGATCAGGATATACAGGGTATTTCGCATCCCTAGTTTTAAAAACTTAATATTAACATCAAAACGTTTTATTGCAACAAGTACATGTTTAAATTTTTTTCAACACGCAAATAATTGTGGACACCATAGATTTATTATGAATCTATAATACATAACAGTTTGCGTCAAGAACGCATCTAAGCTATTTAAATTAGAATAAAAGAACTTGCACTAAATAAATGTTCTATGCTTTATCAACTCTGTTTACCTTAGTAACCTAATGTAAAATGGAATCTTTATTATGCTCCACATCGCTTTAACGTGTATTTGTTTACTTATCGGACATGTATCTGGTTCGTTTTCTTATTATTGTTTTGACTACTCGCATCATATTAATGTTATTGCAATCGTTTATAGTGCAATAGATTAATATGAACGGATTCTTCGCTTCTACAATTACAATTATTTACAAGAAATCATATAAGCCGAGTTGATATGAACCGAATTAAAAATTGAAAATGACTTCATATTTAAGTTGACGTTTCTCAATGCAATACGACACCTTGTGTGTTCGAAATAATATCTTACAATTGTTGAGTAGCCGGATATATGGGAGCGCGTGATGTATTAGAACAGGATGTCGTCGTCTCCTTCATCGAGCATGTTGCCAGCTTGATGATCATTCTCCCTCAACTTGCCTTCGGCAATCATAGCCGCCTTAAGCGCATCGGTTTTTGCACGTGCTATGCGTTTCTTATCCTGAATTTTCTTCAAGCGGTAGAATTCTTCTCTCTCCAACTCGTCCAGTTCAGAGATAATGTAGGCCAATGTACGTTCAATTCTTGGAATAATTACTATAAAAATCAATATTAATTACTTCTCAGTTCGGCACAAACCTATTTGAGAATACATACCATGCTCAATAGCATTAACTCTCCTGTTAGTAATCTTGATGACTTCATCAAGTGTGACAAAAGATGTCTGCAGCGACGCCAACTCAACAAGAAGTTTCACTGCACTCTGGTAGTTCTTCTTCAACTTGGCAAGCTGCTGCCCACCTTTGGCCAAGCCAGTCAACTCATAAGTATCTGTACTATCCTGATAGCTCTCAAATACAGGCAAAGTTACACCTGAAAATAATTATATTCATTAAAACAAATAACGACGACCGTTTGGGAGAATATTTAGCGTTCAATACAAAAAATTGTGTTGCATTTATAAAATCAAATCTTTACCTGCTACATTATCCTTCTTAGTACGAATTTTAATCTGAGCTTTTGTGACATTTTGCAAAACCACTTGATTAAAATCTCCAGTAGTGAAACGCGCCTCTGCTAATGAAAAGGCAGCTTCCTTCATTACTTCACCCATCAATGTTTTGGTCTGCAGAAATCAAAATATTGTTTAGATCAATACTATTCAGTAAATTAGAATGACACACTTCTAACATACCTCAATGATTTTGCCAAGAATCATACGGAAGCGCATTTGCAACGCATCCGCCTTCTTCTTCAGCAGACTGTGGCCCTTTTGGGCACCCTTTAGTCTAGCTTTCATTAACATTTGGGCACTGAAAAAGAGAACATGGGGTTACTCCCAAGTTCAGCATGATACAAACAAGTGGAAAAGACCTGGAATTTCTTTGATTTGACATAATACATGTTCAAATTACTTACCCACGAGAGGGGAAAATGGGAAGCCTTTCTTTTCCAGACATTTTTGACGAGTATTCCCTGTGCAAACTATAAAGGAGTTTCAGGAGTCAGCTGACTTGTGCGCAAATTCACACAGCGTTCACAGTCTTCCCTGTTTTTCTGACATTTGGTCATATGATGCTTTTAAGTAATCCAAATTCATACGGCAAGTGCGACATAGATGGCAGAAACTGATTTTGAATTTATTTTAAATAATTTGACATTAAAGTATGCAAGTATATTTCAGATATAGTTGACAATTTGTGACAAATGTAAATGCCGTAATTTAAGAACTAATTAATTCAATAATTAGTTTTATTGAATGAAAAAAACATTAAAATGTTTGAAGTCCTCGCCAAAATATTGATGGCGCTAGTCGAGTGGAGTAAGTCAGCTGGGTCAGCTGACTATATCACAAGATCTCGGCTAGTGGTGCGGACCGCCGAGTGAAATTCAGTTGTTGGGTGATCAGTTCGGGCGATCGTTTGTGTTTTCGGCAAGTAAGTGTTAGAGATCATCACAAACAATCAGAAATTCATAAGCTAACTTTTAGCGGTAAGCAGATTTAAAAATTTAGAGGCCCTCGTAAGACGGCTATTGATTTTTGTTTCATCGACCTAATTTGCGCCTTCTATCGTTGATTTCGCATAATTTACGCTGCGTACTTTGTCTTAAGTCTAAAAATAGATCACAATCTTGATGAGGATACCATTTACATTAGTTTAAGTCGCTTTTTATGCCCAAATCATACATAAAATATTGTTAGTTACATGCATGGGCAAGGCGTAGTCAGTACAGTCCGCGTTAAGTACACAATAACTAGAGAGCGGCACATGACATTCCACCATTTTATCTACACAACCAATCTACATCATGTGGTTCGCATACTCGAGATACGGGTGTGAACTATGTGTTATATTCACGTGACGCGTATTATAGTGTTAGCAGCTGAGGTTCAATTAAAGTTGATTTACTTTAAGCCTACGATAGTACAATAGTACACAAAATACACTGAACTAAATTGTTCATCTTGTTGTATACAGAAGCGTGAAGATGTCCTTACCCAAAATTCGCGATGAGGACAAGGAGGCCAGCTATGGATACGTCCATGCTGTGTCTGGTCCTGGTAAGTTTAAATTACAATTTTTGCAAATCAGCCTATAATTTCTATAAATCAATCTTTTCTTAGTTGTTACCGCCGAAAAGATGAGTGGATCGGCTATGTACGAGTTGGTACGCGTTGGTTACTATGAATTGGTAGGCGAAATTATTCGTCTGGAGGGCGACATGGCCACCATTCAGGTATATGAAGAAACTTCTGGTGTCACTGTGGGTGATCCCGTGCTTCGTACTGGCAAGCCGTTGTCGGTTGAGTTGGGCCCTGGTATCATGGGTTCCATTTTTGATGGTATCCAGCGTCCGCTGAAGGACATCAACGATTTAACCCAGAGTATCTACATTCCGAAGGGTGTTAACGTACCGGCATTGTCTAGGACTGCCAAGTGGGAATTTAACCCATTGAACATCAAGGTAAACTGATTGCATATTGATGCATTACAAATCTTATTTAAATTATATTTTATTAACAGATGGGTGCGCATCTTACCGGAGGTGACATTTATGGTATTGTGCATGAGAACACACTCGTAAAACAGAAGATGATTTTGCCACCCAGGGCCAAGGGTACAGTTACATACGTTGCTCCATCTGGTAACTATACCGTCGATGAAGTGGTGCTTGAGACGGAGTTTGATGGTGAGCGCACCAAGTATACGATGTTGCAAGTGTGGCCTGTGCGTCAGCCACGTCCGGTCAGCGAAAAGCTGCCAGCTAACCATCCGCTGTTGACTGGACAACGTGTATTGGACTCTTTGTTCCCGTAAGTTATTTAGAAATCAGAATATGAACCGTTTAATATATCATTGGTTTTGTTCTGTAGATGTGTCCAAGGTGGTACCACTGCCATTCCTGGTGCTTTCGGTTGCGGCAAGACTGTCATCTCTCAGTCTTTGTCCAAATACTCCAACTCCGATGTTATTGTATACGTCGGTTGCGGTGAGAGAGGTAACGAGATGTCTGAAGTACTTCGTGACTTCCCTGAGCTATCCGTTGAAATCGACGGAGTTACCGAGTCTATCATGAAGCGTACCGCTCTGGTTGCTAATACCTCTAACATGCCTGTCGCTGCTCGTGAGGCATCCATCTACACTGGCATCACTCTCTCCGAGTACTTCCGTGACATGGGTTACAACGTGTCTATGATGGCCGATTCCACTTCTCGATGGGCCGAAGCCTTGAGAGAAATTTCTGGTCGTCTCGCTGAGATGCCTGCCGATTCTGGCTACCCAGCCTACTTGGGAGCACGTCTCGCCTCCTTCTACGAGCGTGCTGGTCGCGTCAAGTGCCTCGGCAATCCAGATCGTGAGGGCTCCGTATCTATCGTCGGTGCTGTCTCGCCACCCGGTGGTGACTTCTCCGATCCCGTCACTTCCGCCACTTTGGGTATTGTCCAAGTGTTCTGGGGTTTGGATAAGAAACTCGCCCAGCGTAAGCATTTCCCATCTATTAACTGGCTCATCTCGTACTCCAAATATACTCGCGCTCTGGATGACTTCTACGACAAGAACTTCGCCGAATTCGTGCCGCTCCGTACCAAGGTCAAGGAAATCCTTCAGGAAGAGGAAGATCTTTCCGAAATCGTGCAATTGGTCGGTAAGGCTTCCCTCGCCGAAACAGATAAGATCACCCTTGAGGTTGCCAAGCTGTTGAAGGAAGATTTCCTCCAGCAGAACTCTTATTCGTCATACGACAGATTTTGCCCGTTCTACAAGACCGTCGGTATGCTCAAGAACATGATTGGCCTATACGATATGTCCAGGCACGCGGTTGAGAGCACGGCGCAGTCTGAGAACAAGATCACGTGGAACGTGATCAGGGACTCCATGGGCAACATCCTCTACCAGCTCAGCAGTATGAAGTTCAAAGACCCCGTGAAGGACGGCGAAGCCAAGATTAAGGCAGACTTCGACCAGCTGTATGAAGATATCCAGCAGGCCTTCAGGAACTTGGAAGATTAAACGCACTTCGCGCATAACTAATATCTAACGGCGTGTAGGAAGTTTTGCTTCCTCGCGAACGGATCATTACTATTTAAATGTACAATAATGCGAACGATTGTTTATATTAGATTTTTAAGGATCATCTAATGTTTTAAACTCAAAGAGAACGCAAACGGTGAGGGCTACTATTTCTAAACCGATTCATTCCAGAAATTTGTTAAGTTTTGTTTTTATGATTATCAACGCAGAACAAGCGGGTGCTTTGTTAAATCCAGTATTAGTCTGCAGGCGCCGCGCAAAATTACCGCACTAAGTTGCATCCACTCCCCCGCCATTTGACTCGTATCCGTTGTTTTTAAGTCGCGTCCAATGTACAGTTTTTTGAATGTTGTTACACCCCCAAATATTTACTCCGATAATAATTATAGCGTCGTAGAAAATGTTATAGATGTCGATTGAGGAACTTAATTAAGCGTAGTGCAATTGTTGTTGCAATGTAAAGTTTAAAAACATGAAAACAAATAATACATTTAGAAAATATATGAGAAACAATGAGCACAATAATTCATTCGATAATATCGTAAAAAAACTCGACAGTTTTATAATTTCTAATGCTATACAGTCACTTTAAAAATACAGGATTTTTATGTACACAGGGTCATGTAGGTGCTCATGCATTTCGAGAGCAAATGCAGGTCAATACTTCAAGTGTAAACTCGTCGATTGGGCGCCGCGGGCGAAGCGCAATAGTTGCAATCGTCTTCCGAGGAATCCGAATCAGAACTCTCGGAACTGGAAGAAGAGGTCTCGCTCTCCGAACCGGAACTTTGACTTTCATCTTCAGGAATGTTGATTGGGTTGTACAACATCGTGTTCAACGGCAGGTTATTCAGTTCTGTTGGTGTATACGTCTGAAATTGATAAATAATTTAAAAAAACTTGCTCGACTCCTGTCAGGTAGCGAATGTCTTACCTTGTAATAGTCGGTGTATTGGCCAGGCACAAGCGCAATCGGATAATGTCCGATTTTCTGCGGGTCAACTTGCCTTATTCGGCCCTTGGGGTAATTGATCGTGAATGTTTGCAAGTCCATACATGCCTTGCGGTCTTCACGACGCTGCTTATTAAAAGTGGCATTCCACTGCGCCGCTGATTCTACGGCTTGTTGCATTATATCCATTTTGTTCTTTTCCTGGCTAGCTGCCAAACTCATAGCTTTCTGCTTGTTAGCAATGTCCTTTGTTTGTCGATCGCGCTGGTGCTTACAGTATTCTTCATACTTATGTTGGAAATCCGAATACATCAAATCCAAAATGTCCGCAGAGTTAACAACAGTTAGTCCCAGATCGCACATGTGCTCACTAGCAAGACCACTCTCGCGAATGAAATCACGCTCCTGCATATCAACCTGCCGCCGTGGAATACCCGGATATTTTCGCTTAAATGATTTGATGCCCAGATATTGTGCTACTTGTTCTTGCAGCATGTATGGTCCACCGCCACCCCAATAATACTCGGCAAGCTGATCCGCTGAAATCACAGCGCCTTCTGGTTCAATCTCCATTTTATTCTTTTTCATTTTGGCGCTTTCAGTGGTCGCTGTGCTTAAAATCGACGACTGTGACTCATCAATAAGTTCCACAATAATCGGATTGTTAATCACCTAGATAAAAAATACATACATCAGTTCAACTCTAAAGTTGCTGTTCGATTACACAAACCTGCTTGGCGGGACTGCTGATATCAGCGCTCATTCGAGTATCCTCCTCATACATCATCACGTCGGGCTGGTCTGGATCGGCCTCTTGCTCCTCCAACGGGTTCCTACCACCTGAATGTGTCCCAAAGGATGCCTCGTTATTCACATCGACATCCTCGCATACCTCATCGAACGACGAATCTACTTGCGCAGCGACGGCAGCTTCTCTGATCAGTTTCAAATTCGATTCGCCGAGCCTCTCTTTCTGCATTTATTCTTTTATTAATATCGTGAAGAAATTTCGTGGTAAATATTGAAAAATTTTGCCAAACACTACAATAACCAACGCACGTAAAATTTTAAATTAAATTCATAGAAATCGTTTTGCGAGTATATGAGCCGACAGATTGCACGAATACAAACTTATCTATTAATAATCACATGTTTCCCCGTGAGAGATTGGTGTGATGATCGGCTAAAAATAAACTTACTTCCCAACATCGCGCGCGTTGGTGTTCGTTAAATTGTTAAAAACTTTACAAAATAAATGTGAATCCATTCCTATTTACACTCAAACTACAATGTGACATCAATTGCGGTTAAAATTGAAGCGGATTTCTAATCAGATTCATCAATAGCGTGCAACTGCAATGATCGTACGAGTATATACTTAAACATCAAAAACATATATTTCACGATCACTTCTTACCTCCAGAAGTGCATCCTGTGCTTTCGCACCACGACCGCGACCCCGACCTCGTCCTCGACCTCTACCCCGCCTCTTCCGCGGCCCCGTCCTCTGCCTCTACCACGTCCTCGTTCCCCAAGCGGCTTTAAACCAAGAGTATCTCGGACGCTGGATGGACCTCGACAACTTCGCTTCGGACGTCCACTTCTTCCTTTACTTTCATCTACTGCTTCGGCCTCTTGATGTCCAATATTGTCATACCCATCAAGGTCCTGATCCATATCCATTGGAGTCTCTACCACAACAGGTTCTTCGTCTTCGACTCGTACCTGCAATGGTACCTTCCGTGGTCTGCCACGCCGTTTAGGTGTTGGAGTGACGGGCTTCTCCACCGGACTATCAATGTTAGTCATGAAAGATGAATCCATCGACACTAGTGAGTCATTAAAAGTAGTATCGCTACTGAGTTTGATTCGCTTCGTCTCAATTTCAAGCGACGTTTCAGAATCATCTTCGTTTACAATATGAGCATGTCCACCACCACTCATAGAGAATTTCATTTTTAATTTCCCTGACTTTTCTTTCTCCTCTTTCTCTTCAGGCTTCGGAGTTGCGTCGCGTTTTGGCGTCGAGCCACGTTTAGGTGTCGAATCACGCTCCCTTTTGCTAATTTTAAGAACAATGCGTTCTTCATCGTGGAAATGTGGTTCCTCGTCGGGTTTAACAATGGGTTTGATTTTAATTTTGGGACTGATGCAAGCTTCAGGTTTAATTATAGGCTTGATAGTAATTTTGGGACTGTTACAACGCTCAAGTTCTTCTGGTTTGGGAATCGGTTTTATAGTAATCTTCGGACTGTGGTGCATTTCCTCATCGGGTTTTACAATCGGTTTTATAATCAACTTCGGACTTGACTTCTGCACAACAATTTCATCTTGTCCCTTTGGAGGGATTGGTTTGATCGTAATTTTGAATGGACTGGAAGTATCATTTTTCCTTTTCGGGCTCACTTGCGCCTGTTTGATAACAAGTTTAGGAAGAGGTGACTCCGGCTCCTGATCAGTTTCCGACTCCGATGGGCTAATCTCAATAACAGGTTCTTTAGGATCAAATATTTTCAATATTGACGACTCCTCTGCTTTTGTTTTACGAATAGTTAACTTTAACTCTTGACTCTGTGATATTTTGGAACTGTACTCTTGTTTATCATCATCCGACGACTCTTTGTTACTATCTTCATGCATAGTAGTTGATTCGGCCTCCTTGGCACTGCTGTCAACAACAATCTCGAGAGGTTTTTGATAATCAGTCATCTGGTCTATGTCTTCAACCATTGGAATCAAATTAATTGGTTTTAATTCTTCAACAATTCGGGAAGTATCCGTATCCACAGGTACAGTTGTTGACGTTACCTGTAACTCAACACTTCGCGTTTCTAATGGATACTCTAATTCGCAAACTTCGCGGACTTGACATTCCTGTGCAGCTTTGATTAAATCTTCCTCCTCATTACGAGCAGTGCAATCAATCGCCGCCCTTATTACATCATCATCACTTATAAGCGTCGATGCAACTTCAACTTGTCTGTCATCTAATTTAGTATCCTGTCTAAATGCAGATGCTTCTATTGCAGCTCGAACTAATTCAGCCTCCTGGTCAATTTCCGGCTCATCGTCCACTTTTGCTTCAGGAACAGACTCAGATATTTTATCATTCACACCTAATTGTTCAGGATAAAACTTAGGTGTTTCAATATCTGCGCTTTTTTGCTCTTGGTTCACATCTTTATCCTCTTCCTCACAAACAATCATCTTTTCTACGTTAATTTTCTCCGAGTTTTCACATATCATATTTTCTGAGGTGATGATATCCGGCGTTTTGTCATGTTTTATATCATTGTTTATATTAGGCAGAACTGGTTCAATGGCACTTACTAATTCTGAACTATTTGCTTCACTAGGAATAATAGAAATTAACTCCACAAATTTTTCATCCTCTTGTGATGCTGTACACTCAGTTAAAGGCTGTTGATCTGGTAAAGAATGAGGTGGCGCGTTGTTTGAATCAACAAGTGTTGATGTTATTAAAGTATCTCTTTCACATGACATATTATGATTATCAGGAATATCTCCATCTGTATTTGAAATTAATACTTGTTGCACTTCATCTATTGCTTGTAATGGAACAGCTGCATCTTCTACTTTTTCTTCTGGCGGTATAATAGGTTGTTCCTCAGGTTCTTGCATAATATTAGGTACAATATTCAGATCTATCGTTGCGGTCGCTTCAGAATGACTTATTACATTTTCAGCTGGTGGTGATTTAGTATCAGTTGTAATAGAATTTACATCATCAGTTTCATTGTTTTGAGTGTTAACATCACTAGAAGTAATTTCTAATGTTGACAATTCTTCTACTTCTGAATTTTTTGTGTCTGGCATCTCAATTGCCTCCTTATTGTTTATATTATTGTGAGTTTCAATAGACTCAACTGGAGATTCTGCTTGATTAATGGGTGTAATTTCAACAGGAATTGAATCACATTGGATTTCTTCTGAAGTACATGTTGGTTCTGCTACTGTTTCTGGTTCAATCATTACATGATCAGCTACAGCATTTGTTTCATCAACATTTTGTGTCACATTAACAGCAAGGTTTTCAGTGGGTTCAACCACAATATCAGTTTCTGTCTGAGTAGAAGGCTCTAAAACATTGTCAATCTTGTTTAGAACTAGTGGAACATTTTCTAAGCTAAGCTCAGGGTCACTTTCTTCTAGCTCACTATTAGGAGTTATTTCTTTAGCTACCCCTGCATCAACTTTATAGTCAACCACAGGATTGCCTAGTAAATTTTCCAAGTCTGAAACAATGTCATCTACATTTTCAGTAATCTTTACAGTTGAAGTAGTTGCCAAATTCAAGTCATTAGCAAACATATCTGCTTCCTTATCAAAATCAAGCTTTTCTGTGCCTAGATTAGTGATTGTGCTAGATGCAATTGAAGCAATGCCAACTTGATCAACTTCATCAGATGTGCTGGTGATTGTATCCTCCATGGCTGAAAGAAATGGAGCAATTCTAATAGGGTTTCAAACGAGAAAATGTGCGCCGAATGTAAAAATTTAAATCTTGCAAACGCGCAGTTACCTTTGCTTTCCATTGCATCGTTGTTAGCGTCCGATGATGAGCTGGGAACAGCGTCTGTGGTCGGCGTCGTGTTGATGGTATTCATGGTTGAGGTTAAAGCACTGTCTGCTGCGTCCGCGGCATCCGCGGCTTCGTTATCCATGATTTCACTAATATCACACGAGCATTCACGAAAAGGCCGCTTTAAATAAAGGAATTAAACGTCGGGTCGCTTGGTTGAATTGTTAAATTCGAAGCAGTAAACACTAACAGCAAAGAAACACCAGCTAAACTAACAACAGCCCGCCATTTCTGTTTATTATACTTCTCTCTTACACTCATTACCATAGCTTACTAGCGCATCCAGTTCTTTACCTCACTTGTCACTTCTTCATAGTTACCCATGGTAATACTATCAAATTTATGCACTTGCATAAATTAAAACAAAAGCTACACCTAAAGTTTACTTTTTCTAAAGAAATTATTGCCTACTCTAAGAGATTTACAACCCTTTAAAGTATGAGTATTCCTACATTAGTAGGAACCAGTAGTTCCTGTGTTCAATAAGCTTTAGAGTTTATTTTTTTCTATTTCATTTCAACTTATGACTCTCGCATGAATTTATCTTTCTTTGCGTGGAATTTGAAATGGTCTAAACAAACCGGCACGGAATCAGCAGCAGAACCAGCAGGGGCAGGGGGCAGCACGTAGCAGACGTGCAGAGCGAGTGCAAAGCAAGCGATTTAAGCGAATTGAGTGAATTTAACGGCTCACAAACAGGAGCAAGGTGGTTGTTTGTTGTCACAGTTAGTGGCTGGGATGGTTGTGGTTGTGAAGAGTGCGTGTGGCAGTTATGTCCGTTGTAATATCGCATTTATGGCATTAATTCACGCATGTTTGCGCTTTGTTTACACGACACGCTCAAAACGAACCAAGTAAATCAAGTATTTTCGACGTTTTCGATACTTGTGCAAATATGGTTAGAAAAGTTTTGATCAAGCACTTCACAGCAAGCACACAAATTATCCTTATCAGCAATAAATAATTAGACTTGCCTGTGATACGACGTGTCATCACATGACATAAGCATTCCTGCACTTTTGGGCTGTAGTAGCACAATTGGAATCATTTTATTTAGAGTAATACAATGAAGAGGAATGTGGTAAAACTTTTTAAATATGTGATGCTGATGGGCATCACCATGATGGTGACCATTGTTCTCTACAGGCTTATCAGAGGAAGTCCTGGTGAATTAAGTGGGATACCAGAACAAGCAAAACTTAGGCATTTTGATGTAAGAATCAAGCTGATTTCAATTAGTAAATTTTATACTAAACTGTGATGTTTCAGAGCTTCATGGACAATGAGAAGATAGATTGGCATGATTACAAGCAAATCATTGATGATTTGCAGAGGAAGGGTGTTGGTGAACAAGGAGCACCAGCAAAACTTTCAGAAAGTGAACAAAGTTTATATGATTCCATATTTAAAGTAAATGGTTTTAATGGTGCTTTAAGTGATAAAATTGCATTAGATAGGTCTCTTCCTGACATAAGACATGAAGGGTAAGTACTAGTTATAAACTGCATTATTTTGTTTATATTATTGTATTGTTGTTACAGTTGCAAGAAAAAAATGTATTTAAAGCATTTAGGCTCTGTGAGTATAATAGTGCCCTTTCACAATGAACACTGGACAACTTTACTTAGAACAGTCACCAGTGTGTTAAATAGATCTCCAGCACATTTAATAAAAGAAATTATACTTGTTGATGATTATAGTTCTAAAGGTAAATATGAAATATTGTTTCCTTTGGGTTATAATAACTGCAATGTTTGTTTTTAGACTTTTTAAAAAGCAAATTAGATGCGTATGTAGCTGAGCACATGCCCAAAGTATCAATAATTCACTTGCCTGAACGTTCAGGACTTATAAGAGCGCGACTTGCCGGCGCACGCGCTGCGACCGGTGAAATCTTAATATTTTTAGACTCTCACACTGAAGCCAACGTGAATTGGTTGCCGCCATTACTGGAACCGATTGCTCAAAACTACCGCACGTGTGTGTGTCCTTTTATTGATGTGATTCAGTATGATAGTTTTGAATATAGAGCTCAAGATAGTGGGGCCCGCGGTGCATTCGATTGGGAATTTTATTATAAACGCCTGCCCCTCTTGCCCGATGATTTGAAACATCCCACCGAGCCATTTAAGTAAGTAGCACTTAAGAAATCAAGAGTATTATAAAGTAACCACCTTTAAATAATTAATTTAGGAGTCCGATAATGGCTGGCGGATTATTTGCCATTAGTGCCAAATTTTTCTGGGAACTGGAAGGCTATGATGAGGGTCTTGATATCTGGGGCGGGGAACAGTATGAATTAAGTTTTAAGATATGGATGTGCGGTGGTGAAATGGTGGATGCGCCATGCTCAAGAGTTGGACATATTTATCGAAAATATGCGCCATTTAAAAATCCAGGTGTTGGTGATTTTGTGTCCAGAGTAAGTTCACTTCTTTAATATTACTATATACTTTTAATATTGTGCGAATCTTCTGTTTTCTTAGAATTATAAACGTGTTGCCATCGTGTGGATGGACGAATATGCCGAGTACCTTTATAAACGTAAGCCGAATATGCGTAATATGGATCCAGGTGATGTTTCTAAACAAGTAGCGCTTCGCAATCGGTTGCAATGTAAAACTTTTAAGTGGTTTATGGAGACTATTGCATTTGACTTGCCTAGAAAGTATCCAATGATTGAACCGGAAGATTTTGCTTTTGGAGAAGTAAGTTTTGGAAGAAATATTATTAAATATGAATCTTAATTAAATTATTATAGATAAGAAACATTGGTGCGCCAGAGTTTTGCGTTGATACAAATTTTAAAAGCCGTGACTCTGTCGTTGAGCTTCGCAATTGCATTAAAGGAACCAGTAATCGCGGAGAACAAAACTTTACGCTGACGTGGCACAAAGATATACGGCCTAAAGGAAAAACTTTATGTTTGGATGTGTCAGCGTCAAAAAACAAGGCTGATATCACGCTATATCCGTGCCATGGTGGCAAAGGAAATCAAATGTGGCGCTATAATATTGTAACACTTATTTTATCTTATCATCGAACTTTTTTTTATTGATTTTGGTTTTAGGACAAACAGTGGCTAATGCATGGAACCAATCAACGTTGCATGGATTGTGATCCAGGTAGTCAACGTGTCTATGTTAGCGATTGCGATAATGAGTCCAAAACGCAGCGATGGCGGATCGAAAATGTGAACTTGACAATGTTGGCAAATTGGGACAGCGTTGGTCCTGCATAATTTAATTGATGCGGTATACAGTATTCATTTTTAATACCGGCTTCCTTAAACATACTTAAACTTGCCATATATTTATCCACGTTACAAATATCTGTGATAAAACTTTAATAAAGAAACCCTATTTTATTCCGAAAATATGGTACAAGTTAACTTAGTCGCCATGGTAACGTTAAATTTATAATAATGAGTTTGCGTCGATAGAGGCCGCTGTTAATGTTTGATGTGCTGTGATACAAGCAAACATTAATGATGTCATTTACTTTGTACATAATGTATGATACGTATGGAAAGGACATGGGGGAGGAGTGCGTGTGTAATGTCAAGCCGGTAATTGTTTGGCTAGTTGGGTATGCGTGCCGTACGCTTTGCTACCAGTTTCACTGTGATCTTTACTCGTGTTGTGACGTCTCCTAGTACATTAACTACCCAAACTCTTCGCGAAAATCTATTGGGAGTGAAACGATTGTTATCACAAAAGATGGTGGATGAACAGAAGGCTAATAATCTATTCCTGAATGTACTAAAACAGGAATCTGCCAAGCTAGCACCATCGCTTGATTTTAAGGGAAACCACAAAGGCGCCAGTGGAAAAATTGCCGTCGTTGGCGGTAGTTTTGAATATACTGGCGCTCCGTATTTTGCTTCCATTAGTGCTCTGAAAACAGGCGCTGATTTGGTTCACGTTTTTTGTACTCATGATGCTGCAATTCCTATCAAATGTTACAGCCCTGAACTTATTGTCCACCCACTTCTACAACTCGATAAATTAGAAGAAATTACCACATGGTTGCAACGAATGGACGTGATTTTGATTGGTTGTGGACTAGGACGCAATACTGAAACATTAAATCTTGTTAAACAGATTATCGGATATGTGAAACAATTGAAGAAACCCTTAATTTTGGATGCAGATGCATTATACTTAATAACAGAACATCCTGCAATTTTACACGGTTTTGAATCGGATGTAATTCTCACACCTAATCGAATGGAACTTGCGCGTCTTGCAGGAATTACAAATCCTGCAGCTATTGGTGATGACGATGTCGTACGTATGGTTAAAAAGAACAATTGGAGTAAATATATTACTCTGTTGGTGAAAGCTGCAAATGATCAAGTTTATAATGCCGAGAAGAAGGTAATTTTAACGGATTTGGGTGGCTCTGGACGACGCTGCGGTGGTCAAGGGGACATTTTGGGTGGTTGTTTGGCTGTTTTTCTTAATTGGAGTATGAAGAAAGAAATGTTAGAGAATAGAACATTTGTAGCAGCATTTGCAGCATGCAGACTGACAAGAGAATGCAACCAGCGCGCTTATCTGGAAATGGGTCGTAGTATGATGGCCGGGGATATGATCAACCAGATTCATTCTGCTTTTAATGTTTATTTTGAACCACCACAAATATAAAACATAAGCTTTGTTACACTATAGAACTGGTATTTTGATATGGATTAATAAATACGATTCTAATTTTGATTTTCTTTGTATTATAATACGTTTTTGTACTGAATTATTCATGCACATCAAGATACCTTTTATCATTTGTTTTTGTGGGGAAATAAATATCTTTGTTTTTACGGTATATAGGTAATATCAAGAAAAACATAATGTAATCACCAAATGTCGCATCAACCGCAAAACTGAATGTGTAAACAGAAATGTTTACAAATTTTTATGTGAGAATATTTTTTATTTGTAACATTATAGGTATCGAATTATAAGAAATCAGCGACAATTTTGGGACAATGACAGTTAATTAGATGATTTATTTCAAGTTATTGACATATCTTACAATTTATTTCAAATTTACCGCTTTCATTCGTTGCACCGCCAGGTGGTGCTTGTACGCTCGCACTGTTTGCGTTTGTTATGTTATCACCCTTTCTAATGTCAGGAGTTTTCTTTCTTTGCGTATCCGAGCAATTTAACGATAATCACTGGTGAAAAAAATCACAAACAACTGTTCAAACTATCGAATTACTCATTTCAAAGCAAAGTTTTTGCTTCGCGTGGGCGCGTCTACCGTGAAAAAATAGTTTGCGAGTGTTTGGATAACATTGTAAAGTGAACGGAAAAACTCGACAAGATGATTAACACAGAAGTTCCACGAGAGTTGAAATGCAAAATTCTCACCAACCAAATGCAGATGAAAGAAGCAATTTCCAAGCATCAGGTTAGTGCCTATAACTTTTAATGCATTTTATAAATTGTTTATTGTGTTTTTCGCGAAAAAGACCTAACCTAACGAAATTCTTGCAAAACTTACACAACTTTGTTTTTTTATAAACACAACCATTGCCATGTTTTTTTAAATGTTAAAGCTTTATATTTTATAGGAATTTTTATAAGTTCTGTATTATTTACGATGTTTATCATAACAAAAACGTATTCTTTCAGAAACTGATGCTTAGAATGAAAGAAGTAAATATTCGATTGGTAAGTACCGATTTTTTCATTTTTACATATTTCGACTCTAAAATATGCGATTTTTGGTTTATCCCTATAGGTTAAACAAGTACAAGATTTAATAAATGAAACTGAACAACAAATTGTTATTATTGGTTTGGAGCAAAAAGCTCTGGTTGACAAATTGAGGAAAGAACATAAAGCACATCAACATAAAGAGAAGACAAATGTGATTAAAAACGGTGTAGAAGATCGTCGTATCAATTTGACCAATTCTTTTGTACGCGCTAGAAAACAAAATATGTAAGATACGGATATTCTCATATCTCATTTAATTACTATATTAATTTTGCAAATATTTTATAGATCAAGCATCATACAATCAGTATCTCCGTCTGATGAGTCAGACTTGATATCAACGCCTACTACACCTGAACCAACCACATTCAATCCAATCAATCCACAGGACATTAGTCAAACAGAGTTCCTAACATACTTTGGTCTAGCCACACATGATGTATTTAAAGAGATTCAAAACAAACGCGCCGAGAGAAAACGGCGACGCACTGCAAACCCGCAATTTTTATATTCTCGCGGATGGGACATATCAGTAAGCATACAGTGAATATGATTTTAATGTGTTGAACAATTTAAATTTTTCTATAGAAGCGAAAACGTAACGTATATTTGGCATCAAATGTTTCCCCGCCAAATACACGTCAATCGTCGAAAAATAAACGCAGCAATTCGCCACAATTCAAGTCTTCCAGGCCAAACTCCCCTGTTGATAAAAAGAATTACGGCCAGAGGTGGCCCAGTGATTTGACAATCGAACGCGTTAAAGAGGAACAAGTTTGTGCAGAATGTACAAAACCAGGTATGAATCATTATTAAATTTTACTTATAAATGAAAATTATATGTTGTTTTTTCACAGATAATTTATTGGCTTGTGAAGTGTGTGGTTGCGCTTTTCATGTGACTTGTCACAATCGTCCATTGAGTCAAACTCCACGCCACTGCCCTAAATGTCTGAAAAGTATCCTAGCACATGAGGCTGAAGTTTCTGGTAAGATAGTGTGCTGTGATTATGAATTTAAATCCATAGCAATCGTATTTTTATTAGAAAAACTATTATTACGTTCGCAACTTGAAGAAAAGAACAAAGAGTTAACCGAGGAATTAACGAAACTTCAAGATCAACATTCCGAGTTGGAAGAGTCGCTGAAAATTGAAGACGTGGCTAAAAAAGAGATGTTTGCGGCTCAGAAGACTGTGGAAACTAAGATTGATACACTTATTGCGTTTATTAAGACATTTCAGGAGCCTAAGAGTATCAAACCTGCTGTAGACTCATCACCGCCCCCGGAATCACCGATTTCTGAGGAGAAGGAAGAAGTGTTCGATGATAATCAATTGATTGATAATCTACAATCGTCTGAGACGATGGATTCAATGGTTTCACCACCTGCATCTCCAACTGTTGAATCAATTGGTGAAGACACAGCTGAAACAGCTTAAATTTAATGATATTCATTCTAATGAATGCTGTTCTTCATTACGATTTTTAACAAATTTTTTCTAGTATTTAAGGCCCCAATATGCAACTGACTTATTTATTGGGAAACTGTGATATGCGTCGTTATATACTTTTACCCTGTTGATTTCAGTGTTATCAAGAAATTCACAAACATTTTAGTCGCCTAGTATTGCCGATTTTTTTCTTTGTATGATTTATTGATCAAATTGGTTTAGTACCGCGTGTGACCGACTGAACAAGAAACTAGTTTCTTAAGTTTAAATACACGCTACGACCTCGCTGGCGGGTCGATCGATTCCCATTCTGCTCCGCGAGCCAGGACTCTCGCAATTGCGCACATTCTACCCGATTTCTGGCCACTAATATTTATAAAGCGCAAGGCACGCCGGGTTGACGACAAGTGCACAAAATAATCGCGGCCGTGTACGAGCTTATTACAACGTTGTATTATGGCGCTCTCGTTGGGCCATTCGCAGGTGCGCCAGAACTTCCACAAAGACTGCGAGGATGCAATTAACAAACAGATAAATTTGGAATTGTTCGCGAGCTACACATACCTGTCAATGGTACGTATCGGTTACGTAAATGTTCCTGTTTGTAAACATGCATATTCACACAGCAGCTCAAAAACACGAACATTACTGCTTGTTTATATTTAGTCCGACTGAAAGATTTGCGACCAGTGAAATGCGACCTATTATTTTGTTTTCACTAAAATAATATTTAAAGTCATATATTTTTAGTTGCAATTTAAGTTTAATTGAATTTTGTATTTAGATGATATTTACTTCTACGTATTATTTAGATTAAGCAATAGAATAAAATATTTTTAAAAAAGTGAGAAAACATTGTGGTCCTTCAAAGCCTAGTTATTGGCATTTGTACAAATTCTACCTCGGCTTATAGCTACATTAACGTGAATCATGAATGTCGGCATAAATATAATAACGGGCTATAAAATTACCACCGAATGCCAAGATATAAATTGTGGTGTCATAAGATATGTAATAGAATGTAAGAATAATTACATTTTAAGGCTTATCATTTTGATCGCGATGATGTCGCATTGCCAGGACTGCATAAATACTTTAAAAAGTGTTCGTATGAAGAGCGCACACACGCTGAACTGCTGATGGAATATATGAACAAACGCGGCGGACATATTGTTCTTGCAGATATTGCACCACCAGAGAAAAGCGACTGGGGGCATGCACAGGATGCTATGCAAGCTGCATTGGATTTGGAACGAAAAGTCAATGATGTATGTTTATTAACCAGCAGAAATTTATGTCATATAAAATGTTTTACTTCAATTTTAGGCTTTGTTAAATTTACACAGTGTTGCATCAGGGCACATGGACGTCAATTTCTGTGATTTCTTGGAGACGCATTATTTGCAAGAGCAAATTGATGCGATAAAAGAAATAGCAGGCCATGTTACCAATCTTAAACGTGTAGGCGAAGGACTCGGCGTGTTTTTGTTTGACAAGGAATTGGGTGAACAAGACTAAGCAATGAAATCAATGACAACGAATACGAATTTGCAAGGGAAGTAAATTACAATTATACATTGTCACATACGTATATAGAAAGCACACCTAAAATAATAATTGTACTATTATTAGGATATGATGGTGTGATAACATTGCAAAAGATATTTAACAATTATATTCGGTTTAGTTCTTAAAAATAGAGTTTCGAGAACTGGGCACATAAAAGACTGTTGGCTTGATAAAGGAAATTCGTCAATTGACAAAAAGACATGTGAAAAACCAATTTGTGAAATGCTCTAATGCTTTTTAGTAAGACTTATGACTATGAGTGAAATACAGAAAGAAACCTTTGAAATTTTCAATACTTATTATCTGTTGCCAGAGAAACTAATATTTTTGATTAAAAAATTATGATACATCAAAGTCAATGCAATTAAAAGTTTATAAATTTTAAAATGTTACCAAAGTGTTTTATAGGGGCTTTATTCGTAAATTATAGTAATTCATCATGTTTAAACAGAAGCATTTTAAAAATGAACCTATTCAACCCATCTAGGTTTCGTAATTCACCTTTAATTATACATCGCAATGCATCACAAAGTGCAGAAGCAACGAAAAAGACAAGCAATAATAATTTCCACCGACATTGCTTCCACGACGAATGTGAAAAGTTATTAAACGAACAAATTGAAGCCGAATTGAACGCTTGCTATACCTATCTTGCCATGGCATCACATTTTGGCCGCAGTGAAGTAGCTTTGCCAGGTTGTTATGCTTTCTTTTTCCAAATGCATTTAGAAGAACTTGGACACGCGCACAATTTGATTCGATATCAAAACATGAGGGGAGGCAAAGTTCTTTTTTGTGGGCTCAAAACAGTAGAAGATTGTAAATGGAATGTACAGCAAAGCCTTGAAAAGGGGTTACAGATGGAAAAGGAAGTCAAAGAGGTAAAATTGATAAGAGGAACTAATTGTAGGATCAAATCAACTAATTTTATTGTAGAAACTGATTGCTGTTACTCATGTCGCCGAAAAACACAAAGATTTCTCCTTGTCAGACTTTATAATTGCGGATTACATCCAGGCGCAAGAGAAGTCAATACAAGAATATGCGCGTCTTCTACAACGTTACCAGTCGATGTCGGGTTGTGGAAATTGTCAATGCACTGATTTTCTTTTTGATAAAGAGCTACATGCTGAATTCTCTAATGGGACGAACCAGGATGCACTTAAATTCACAGAGAATGAGAAGGCGTTCAAGTAAAACTCAAAATGTCTTTGTTTAGACATACAAAATCTTTGTAAGATTGCACAAATACTTCATTTATTTAAATTATTATTTTTAGTTAAATTCATTCATTGCTGCAAAATATATAGTTGCCATCGCTCTCTTTCCGTAATTGCACTTCGGTTCCATCCTCGGTGACGAGTATCTTGTGCATTGATTGCTTGTGCGCTCGCAGCGTCGATTCATGTTTGCATAGTTGATCGCAATATTCGCACTTGAGCGGCGTGAATGGCTTGTGCACAGCGTTGTGTTTGAAAAGAGATGAGTACTCTGTGAAGCACTTGCCACAACCCTTTGAAAACGATCCAATCAATTCAAAACATTATGATTACTACAAGTAAAAGGTAAACTTACGGTTACAGGACACTTATAGGGTTTTTCTCCTGAGTGTATTCGCATGTGATTTTTGAAATTGGTTGCCGATGCGAATGCTTTGTTGCAATCTTTGTGTGTGCAGCGGTAGGGACGTTCGCCGGTGTGTGATCGCACGTGGACTTTTCTTATATTCGAAGTGGTAAACGACCTGCCGCATCCCTCAATCGGACATTTGAAAGGTTTCTCACCGGTGTGGGTGCGCACGTGTTTCTGTAAATCGCCGGATGTCTTAAAATGTTTTTGACACACCACGCAACCGTAGGGTGCTTCACCGGTGTGCGTTCGCAGGTGCGCTTTAAGGGAATAACCAGTGGCGAAAGCTTTCTCACAGTGAGAAAACGGACATTGGTAAGGACGACTTCCAGTGTGATTTCTCATATGAACCTAAATTATAGAATATTTAGATATTTAAACATAATCTAATTTAACACCTACTGTTAAATGATGAATTGAAGAGTACACCTTCCCACAACCATAATATGAACAGGCAATCTTTTTATCTTGTTTAGGACTAACAATTTTAGGCTTTTCTTCTTGTTTAATGTTCTGAATCAGGCTGTTTAGTAAATCATTATTGATATATGCACATGTGCCATCAACAAGTTGCACTTTCCAAAAATTAGATTCCCCTGTTGATGTTTCATCATCTTCAGTATTACACATATCAGCAGTTATTTCAGTTGCTGATGAGTCTGTTGGAATAACAACTGCTTCTTCTATTTCTTCTTGAGTTGCAACTTCACACTCCTCCTGCTCTTCTTCTTGTAGTACACTAATTAATTCAGGATCAAATGTGTAATCTTCATGAACATCTTTCAAAGTATTACTATCTTTCATGTACATTTGCCCATCTTCAAGAACAAACTCAACTTTAGGACAAACAAGTGGATCATACTCATATTCAGAATCTTCATTGTTAACTTGTTCATTATTTGTCTCATCAGAGACAGCACTATTTAATACTACATCAGATGATACTGGCTCCACCAAATACATGACTTCTTGATCATCTTCATCCTTGCTACCAACAGGATTATTGATGAATGTGTAATCAGTGTTGTCTGGCTCACTAATGAAAGAATCCTCATCTCTTATAATTGTGAAGTATTGATACACAGCTTGTTCTCCAGTGCTGTTGTCAACTGCAAACACGTAAACCGGCCGTTAGTTGGTAAATATTGGAAATGGCATAAGTTTGAAGTAAACTAAATAGGAAAATCATGCCGTTGTGGATAATTATTGATTTGGATGCCATTGTTTTGTTTGATTGCGTGCTGGTGTTCGTGGTTTGCTCACGTTTGCGTGTAGCAAGTTGTGCGACCTAGCTGCGCTGAGTGAGTGTAGTGTGTTTGAAAAGTTTGACAAAGGCGCGTGATGAATTCAAATCAACTTAAAATCGAACTAAAAAAGGTATGATGGGAAATTACCCATGATCAACAAGACGTGTTTTCGTTTCCGACCAACTGCGACTAACACTTCATCAACTAGCTGTCACTGCTTAACCTGCTTAAATGTAATGAGATTACTTTTGCGTTGGGGGGCGCTGCGGAGCGCTCAAGCGCTGAACATGACAATGTGGCGCTGCAAAACGTTGAACTGCGGCTTTAGAATTGAAATGAACATGAAATTTAAACAACGAAGTATTTTTTGCTTGTATTTGTTGAATGCTACTTATATATAAACCTGGTTTATTAAAGAAATGTAAGTCTTCTTCTTATAATAATTATTGAGGCATGACACAAGGATATAATACTTAAAACAGACGTTTATTTAATGTTGTATTGCGGTTAACGTATGTTTCTTGCAACTTTAAATGTTAATGCACTTTAAGTAAACTCATCACAAAAAAGTAAGTATTTATACAAAACATGAGATGTTTTTTTTATATACGTCTCTATTTGCTCTAATAAAGTGGAATTGCGAGTTGAAGAAAAATCAATAATTCTGGTAACCATGCAACGACGAATACAACACGCTATTTCATTCCACGAGAACAAAAAACGATTCATGACAGAAACCTGAACAAAACGTTTGCGTTCTTTACATATTTGGGTGTCTTTAATTACGTAAAGTTAAATATTACGCCGAATTGTATTTAAAAATGGATCGGCAACCATCTGCACGACCAATTTCTACGAGACCTCCGTCTGCAGTTCCTGTTCCTAGAACAGCAATGGTAAAACATTTCTTTTGTTGTTTTCACTTAAATTAAAACAGATTTTAATTGTTTTAAGACCTCAGCAGCTTCACGACCATTTACTCAACAAGGTCTTTCTGGTTTACGTCCTCCTCCAACTTCAGGAGCAGGAACAAACCGCATTTATCGCGATAAACGTTACTATATGTCGCGAATCCAAGCTCACATGAATCAAATCCGTGAAGAAATTGGACGTCTTAATCGCAGTACATTAGATTATCGTGTAGCGTCTACAAATCGACAAGAAATGCGCAAAACTGCCGAAACTACAGCAAAAAAACTCACCGAGAAACAAGAATTGCTCACTGTTTACAATACAGCATTAGATATGCATTTAAGTAAAACACGGACTGAAGAAATTGTCGCGGAAACCTCTGAATTGAAGCAAAAGAATGAGATGCTGCTAAAAGAGTTGGATAACGTATTCCAGAAGAAAGTTAGAAAAGAAGAAGAAATTGAAGATTTGAAGAAGAAAATCACCGAAGAAGAAGCGTTTATAAAATCATTAATTGAGAAGTTATCTCCGGAATCTAAAGAAAAATATTATGCCTTAGCTGAGGAAAATAAAAAGACTTTAGAAAATATTGCTCATATGCAAGAAAAAATCAAAGAATCCAAGGAACTTATCGAGAAATACAAGGGAATATTATTCAGTCTATTGCCAAACAGAAAAAGTTACAAATACTGAGGAATATTTCAAGATTAAACATGCAGAAAACGGAATTAGAGGCTTTTGTTCAAAATACTTTGACACCTGCTCAACAACGGGAAAAATTATTGGAACAAGTAAGATGAACACATTGTTTTGATATGTTTGGTAAAATTTCTTTAATTTAATTTTTAATCAGGTAAAACAAGACAAAGCAGATATAGAATCTTTACTAAAAGTAAAAACATCAGTTGAAGAAGAGCTTTCAAACAATGAGACGCGTCTTGGTGAATTGGAGCATGAACTGGACGGCAAGGATAACGCACGTTTAAAGAAACACAAGGAACTACGCGAGCGAGGTGAACACATGGAGAAGTTCATTTCTGAATATGAAATAAAATCTGTTGATTTAAAAACCAAGATTCAGTCACTCAATCAAGAAATCGGTATTGCCTTAGAGCATATGTCAGAAAACCTTGCTGAGGTGAACTTGAAAGAATTAGACGTCAAGTTCAACACCAGCGAGCACAATACCCTCGAGGGATGGTCCAACAAATACAAATTGCTAACAACACAAATTACTCGAGTATGAATTACATTTATTATATAATTCACATAATATCTTATGTTATGTAAACACTTTAACAGTTTACATAATCCTTTGTTTAGATTTCTGCTGTGCGTCAAAAGTATCAAAAGGAAATATCAGATATGCGTGAGAAAATGGTCAAAATGCAGGGTGAGATGCAATTGTATGGAGATATAGGTAAGGGTAAAATGATTCAAGAAGCAAAGAAGGAACAGTTACTTGAGAAGCAACGACAATTGCAAAATACTTTGGATTCTACTCGAATGGCAGTTGTAGAAGCGAAGAAAAAGCGTGAAGATATGAAGGTACTGATAAGTTTTCTAAAAATATTAAGTAAATTATTCTAACTAGTTAAATTTATAGCGACGCATTGAAGAAAACGATGATTTTAATGAAATCATGAAGCTTGAGAAAACCATTGAAAATGTAGAAATGGAAGCAAATGAATTGGAAAATGCTATAAAAGCTGAATCAAGCAATGAAGAAATGGATAATTTGTGGGTGCAATTGCATGAAGTGCTTGCCAAGCGCAATGCCCAATTGATTGATAACTTAAAGAAAAACGGACGTAAAAACTTTGAATAAAAGCGTGTTTTTCATGTTTTTATGTTTTCATGTTATATGTACTACATTAATCAAAATTATTCACACAGTTTGACGTAGTCAATTATAATGTGAATCAAAATAAGTGTTAATAATGCAATTGTTAAACTCTTTGTACGTTTTAGGTGCTTTCAAATGCAATAAATCATATCTGCAGAGTCGTTATCAGAAAAATGATTATAAACAAGACTTTCATTTCCTGTAAATGTAATACATAGGTTTGTATATGAATTGAAAAAGTATCGCACCGATTTCAGTTTACAAGCGCAATTAAGTTCTTTTCATCACTGTTTAAACGTACGATAGCATCAAATGTTGCGCTCGCAGCAACAATGCATTCGATAATAATCAAATCAATTTCCGTTTCTTCATAACTTTTAATTAAAACCTTTCGTAGCCTTCAACCATTCAACGAGCGCGACGACGTCGGAAAAGAAAGTAAAGCCAAAGGATGTACACTACTCATCCAATCATTACAGATTCATATCGCAAAGCGGCGATAACGTTCACTTTACTTTTGAATTATTTATTACCCAGTTTTGATTAATGAAATATGAAAAGTGAGCAATGCAACAAAATTAAACTCGTTCGCAATTTATTTCTTGACTTGCCCTGCGGTTATACTTGTAATATAAATTACAGATTTAAAAAAAATATATTTACTAATGGCTTTGGCAAAAACTGATGTAAACCGCGATGAAAATGTAATTCCAGTTATTTCTACACGTATAAAAGTGGCACGTTGGTTAAAATATGACTTAATTTATTATATGCTTTTAATAACTGGTGGTTATTCGCATAAAATACTCTCGCCCAACAAAAAACCACGCCAATGCGCAAAAATACTTTCTGGATGTATTATAATTACCTTAATTGTTGCAAATATATGGGTGGATTCCTTTATACCCCGACGACTTTCTGTGGACATTATAACTAAATGTTTCTATGATTTAGTTTACACAACTGCTTTGATAGAACCCTGGATACAAGAAAAGAAGTTACTACGTGCAATTACCAGCATTTCATCAATAAAACAGAAGTTGTCAATCCAGAATAACGTGAGAAATGAGTTTCCAAACAGTTTTCTATATTCAATTATTTTTATATCTCTGCTTATTGGAATACAAGCTGTATCAACATTACCTTTCAGTATTTATTTGTTTGTTTGTGGAACACACATGCTCTTTTTGACAATTTATTTCTCTTTAATTTTGGGAGAACTTGAATATGTTATCAAAGGAATTACTAAAGAATTACACGTATTAAATGTTGAAAACGAAACTAAACGTGTAAATTTCACAAATTCTACAATCGTTATAAAGATAATTGAAGTGAGAAAACTTTGCTCTCAGGTTTTTGACATTGGAAGAGACATCAATGGATGTTTTAATCTGTGGTTGGGCTCAACACTTGCTTCAAACTTTATTAATATAACATTGCTTGTTTACAAATGGCTAGTTTTGGATTATAGCACTCATCAGGAAACAATAATTTTAACGATTTTATGGTTTATGGTATTTATATTCCAAACCACATTAATGACCAACTCAGTTCAGAAAGTAAAAAACCAAGTGAGTAATAAAAATCATACTGAATCAAACAGTTCATTTAGAAGTATTCTAATTTCTAGTTAATTGAACTGATAGGAACGATTCATGTATGGTTGCCAACTATACAGGATGCTGAACTTTATATGATAATGAAACAATTCTCACTGCAATTGGTTCATGAAAAATTTGAGTATTGGATTGTGGGGATTATAAATATCGAGAATTCTCTTATGTATAATGTAAATAACTATATTCGCCATTTTGCATAGGTTTATTTGTGCTTATAGAAGTTTGTGAAACTTGTTCAATATTCAAACAAAGTTTTCAACTTGCTAATGAAACTTCAGGTGATGAAGAGTACCCAGAATATGTAGTTTAGTATATTGGTTGCCTACCTAATCTTTTGTTTGAATTTTGAACAAAGTTACACATTGAATACTTTGGTCTAACCAAAGTTAACCTTAAAAATTGTTATACTTTGCAGATGGTTGGAGCAGCAGTAACATACGCAGTACTAATTCTTCAAATTACATCAAAATAATACAATTTCTAATAAATATGTGAGTAAAACCAGTGTGTATAATATTTAATTTATAATATTTTATACAAAATGTAAAAACTCAAACAATGCGTAATTGTTATACATCGTCAAATAGTTTAACTGTTCGTATGTTTAAATTACGATTGCACAACATGATAAGATAACTTCAAGTTCGTGATTTTGATTCCAACATTGAAATAACATTGCATTTAACACATTAATATACGTGCCTTACAAAAAAGGCCACCCGCCAAGTCCAACAGTGTCTAAAAATAAAACCACGAAGCAAATATATCATCCAACTGAAGAAGTTAATGCGTAAACTTCCCGGACGCGTTAGTGCGATGATGTGTTCGGATTGAAAGAGACGAGGCAAAGTCGAAAGTGACAAAGAGTTCACAACGTTCGCGGTTGCTCATTAGAGTCGGACATTACATATCATCGTGTTCGAATGTGTGTTCATCGAATTAGTGCCATCGTGCGGTTTATGCACACAAAGTGTTTAAAACGTTTGTTTGCCCATTGAAATTCAGACGAGATCGTTAACGTGTAAATCATTCGCACATAATTAATTAAAACCTGCCCAAAATAGTTGACAGAAAGTTAAATTTCGGCAAATAATTCCTGGAAATACCAAAATTAATCGTACGTGATTGCAATTTTATTTTGACCGCACACAATGCGGATTTACATTTAAAAATACCATAATCATTCAACGTGCGGTTTGAAGATTGTTTCACATGTCGATGTTCACATGCCTCACACACATATCTATATCGTATTGTACAGGAAGTACCAATTAAAGTGGTATTTCAGTCAGCTTAACACTAAAAGACTTCTATTTAAAACAGCTAGTTAATTGAGTGCTTCAACAAGCAATAGACTACAAGTGTCATCCAGCAGTTCCATTACACACTTAAAAAATACTTTAAAAATTCTTTGTACATGTTTAAAGTGAGATGTAAAGTTGTTAAGATCATTTCCATCGTAAGATTATTCGCGTTCCACAGTGGGAAGTCATACACTTCCTGGAATTATTCCTGGAAATCAATTGATACATATGAAAACAGTGTGTTAACACAAATACAAAATGGTTGAGTATATTTCGACGACGTTTAATTTGAATAAATGAATCATACAGACTTTATTTCATGTTAACAACGTGTGCAATGAAAGTAAAATATAAAATTTTAAATTATGCTAAGTGGTGTTATCATATGTGTACACTCGGTATAAATTAGCACTCAATATGGAATATGTTTATGAAGTGTGATACACAATTCACCAATTCAAATCAGTTTGTTTGCGAGCGTTTATTTGTTAGGGTGTGTACACATTGCGTGGTTAAATTTTATAGGTGGTGTGTAAAATTTGATTGTATGCGCTTATTTAACGCGCAGATAAGAATTAGTTCAATAACGCACGCGTACTTCTTGCATCAACTGGATTAGTCTGCGTTGCGCAGTGTTGGAGACAAGTGCGGACGCATGTCCTAACGACTCAAAACTGGTGTAAAGCAAGTGCACTTATTCATTACCTCAATTTCTCTGCTTACCAACCAATGGTAGATAATCTGCTAAGGCGTAGACGGCGGTAAGACTGTAGTATGAATATTCAAAGCGAAGATATGTACTTAAGTTTGAAACTTAAGTCGTTCTCGCATGCTCCATAAAGAAAAGTTAAAACCTAAAGAACCTGTGCGCGCACGGTTGAGAGTCGTAAACGCGGAGCTGAGCGCAAAGGTGCAGCGGCATGTGAGAAGTGAGCGCGCAGTGGACTTACGCGCACTCGACTTAACTCGCATAGTGTGACCTTCGTCGCTCCCATTGGGTGAAAATAAGTGAAACAAAAAAAAAAAGACGAAAACAAGGGAACGGGGAGCCGCGCGCACCTCATGCACAGGCGCGTGAGCGCGCCGAAGAAAACAAAAACCCAAGTTGAAGTTGGACGTCGAAGTCGAAGGGAAACGAACGCATGAGACAAGTTATAACCTAACATCGGACGGCGCGGGGCGCAAAGACAAGACAACATGTTATAGTTTCATTGTTTCGCGATAATCGCCCAGCGGACTTAACAGATAAGCGCAACTATGACTTAAGTTCGGTGATATACGGTATTTACTATCGAAAGTGATGTAAAAGTGAATCGTGCAGTGTTGTGTTTACTTTTTTTTACAAAATAAGTAAATAAAATCGTAAACAAAATGCCAAGTAATAAATATTTGGACACCGTCGTCAAGGAGGGTTGCATGGTGAAACGATCACAAAACAAGAAACCCTACACAAAAGTCAATTTCAAACAACGATGGTTTGTGCTCTCCAACACATCTTTAATTTATTACGACACTGATAACAAAGAGGTATACATTGTACAATTTTATCTAGTTACGATATAAATAATAATAATAATAACAACATATGATATGTATGTGTGGCGCTGGTTTGCAATATAGTCGTAAAATGTGTTTGTTTCTAAAATATGTTCGTGCACGCAAAGTGCAACAACGCATTGATTGTTTATAAATAATATGCTAAGCGAGTTATCACATTGAACTAGTGTATACACGGTGAGTTCAAGTTACTTGTTTAGATTATGCGTGCGTCTGTTTTCGGTTTTATGTTTAGAGTCGCCAAGATAGCGCTGCTACCGATGAAGAAAATGCGGTGCAAATGCAGTGTGCACGGGTTACGGGCAAGGCAAACTGCAGTTTGCTTTTGTTTCTTTGCTAATTTTAGTTGCGCGTGCTGACACTCAGGCGCTGTTACTGCGCAAACACAAAAGTTTACTATGAAACTTAAAACATAAATCATAACTAAAGGTAGGAAGATCTTATATCATTTCAAATATTATTTTAGCTTCCATTTGCTTAATCCCATCAATTTTAGATGAGTCATTTTGATAATTACGTGATAATAGATATAATAACATTATTTTAACTCTTGTTAGCTGTGGTTATGTTTGTTTAACCTAAAAATTATTCCAGTGTTAGTATTTTAAGGTTATTTTAATTTATTTGTACTTTATTTAACTTTTTCCTTAAAAAAATAAGTTGAAACAAGTCCTAGAATAATATGACTCGTGGTATTTTGATTTTTTATAAAAGGGTCTCCCTCTAAAGGGTGAATCTGGAACTCTGCACGATGAGTAATCGCACTGCGTATGCGTTTGAACACACAGCTGTGTAGCATGCATCGCTCGCTCTCTAAAAACCCTCCAGCGCGGCGTGCGCGAGCTGCGCGCACATTTAGGGTGGGATCGGTGTGCGGCGTCGCGACGCCAACACGTACTTTTTCACCCTCTGCCCTAACGGCGTCCGCGTAAACATCGGCTCGCTGCCCGCCGCGCCACACCGCCGAGCACAGTCACCTTTCTAATTGCAAACCAGCCCTACGCTTCTATCAACCTCAGACAGATTGTCTTCTTGTCTTATTCCGCGTTTGTGTAATTGCGTATTTTGTTGTTTGCCGGTTTGGTGCGTGTAGAAACGCCGCGAGAAGGGACGCATCTACAGGGATAGCGTGCACACGATCGAAGTCGCCGACGAGACGAGCTTCAAAGAGGAGAACACGGTGGCCGTACACTATCCGTTCCTGGTCGGCTACACGGAAGTCGGCGTCGACTACACCCTCTATCTGAACGCCCAGTCGGACGTCGAACGGCAGGAGTGGATCAAGTCGTTGCGCTCAGGTATATTATTCAGAATGCATTTTCGTGCTTATTAACATAGTGCCTGGCGTGCTGAGTGAAGCCTGCCGGGGAATGAAAAATGAGCTCGGCCAGCACGCCGGAGATTGAAGTCGTTTGGTGGTAGCATGCCTGCGCGTATTATGACTGATGAGATTAACATAACACTGCGTCTATTGTACGCATTAGAAATAAAATAAAATAAAAATAACAAAGGGACGCACTGCTTGTCTATTACGTGAAATGTGAAATGAAATATGCTCGTTCAAAAAGGGTTTGTCTTCCGCTTAGCGCTAGAAAGAAATCGAAAACCCCCTCAGACAAGATACACAAGTGTCTACCGCATCCGCACACCCAACTGTTATTCAGTACAGAATACAGCAAGTATGTAGAACTGAATAACATTATGAAAAGGTCTCGAACATGTCTGCAACCCATGTCTTGAATGGGCAGCTAGATGAAGACCGATCAAAGGAAAAAAAGTAAACCGTTCTTGTTACGCATTGCTTCGGCATTTAAAGAATTTAACAGTCTGTTCTTTTTGTTTGGTTCAACTGCGGAATGCCTTTTTGGTTCAGTATACAAAATGAGAGAATAATGATGACACATTGGTGACGTCAAAGACGTCTGTGGAATGATTTTCTCTTTCTGGTTTGCGTTTATTCACGCCACTCTAATTGTGCACTAAAGTAGTGTCATAAAATGACCGATAACGTTTAAGAGCAAGCTCAAGTGCCAATATTGAACGTGTATAAGTTTCTTAAGACATTTTGAAAGAATTCCACTTTGCATTTTATAGTATTGTCATAAATTTAAATGCCACTTATGACATTTCCTAATTTTCTCGGACCGTTATAAATGATGAAATGGTGATTCTCAGGTAAATTTATTAAGGATTAGAAGATATTTAAAATGAAGCAACTTATATTTATGTCTATTATATTGTATTGGTATAAGTTGATGAGAATAGCAGAAAATTGTATTAGAATTTTATTATCTTCCAGTAGAATGCATCTAGGATAATTTATATTATCTAGGATATTGTTACACTCCAGAAAATGCGAAGAAACTTGCGGTATTGTTATGTGTTACATACACGCGATATGCCATTTGGGAGACTAAAGTAGAAAGTAACTCCCTAATAGAGTTTTCGGTTTGGAGTTTGGTAGGACTATTGTGCGCTGAATATTTCCAGTCTAGACGCGGTGACGACAGGTCCCGCAAATTTGGGCGCAATTTGCGAACCTGTGAGTGGTGGAGATGGCATGATGGTGGTGAATTTAGAGAAAACTCAATTCCACTTTCCACGGATCCTTCTCGCTTGAAATCTGAAGCCGAGTGCGGTGCCACTCTGCCATGAACACATTTGCATTGTTCTGTCCTGTGTGCATGCATAAGTACCCCGGTGGATTTAAGCGGAACCTACGCGAACTATTTACTGAAGTAAATTTGGGTGATAATGTAATAAGAAAAAAACTGGCCCTAAATGAGCTAAATTCACCGAGATTTGAAAATTACCTGATTACTTATTCACTTACTTTTTCCATTCTCAATACAAATTAGTGTGAAATTGCACTGTTGAATTCCAGTCAACATTTGTTAGGGCATGAAGCTGGCGTTGTTTGCGTAAACAGTTTTCCGCGCAATACTCTTGGCCATAAAGTTGGTGTTTTCTCGGTTTTCGATGCTCTGCACTCAGTTTTGTCCCAATCTGCGCGGCGCAGCGCGTTGGTCTGTCTGAAATTACACGGCAATTTCGTTCCGTAGCGAGTTGCCATCCGTACCACGTGCGAACGCCGACGGTCGGCCACATAATTCCATCACGCCAAGTTTTTAATTAAATTTATTACGATTTGTTGCTGGCTTCTTGCCGGCGTGCCGCGAACAGCAGGCAACAAACAGAGCGCTGCGTTCGGTTGCATGTGAAGTGTGAAGCGGTGGCTATCGCGCGTGCGCCTTACGATTAAGTCACCTCAATGAACGGATATGCGGATATTCACTTCAAATTTTTATACAAAAACACAGAGTGTTAAAAAATTACCAAAAATATTTTTAAACTTAAGTTTACTTTTATAAACTTAACACTGACATCCAATTAGTTAAACTTTTAATGATGACTTTATAAAGCGTGGAAGTGCCTTACTCATTTTAGATGAACATGTCTGATGATGTGACAGCAAGCGTTACAATATTATGTTGACCACCCACATTGAACTTTCTGAACACCACACACGTACATTAATGACAATTAATTTTATATGAAGCAGTAAATCAAAAATTAAAAACTAGTATAACCTGGAATAATTACTGAAACCGTTTAAACAATTTTAGGCCTTTGGAATTAAAATACTCCTTGTATAAATGATGAACATGATACACATTAGTTATACGATATGTATATTATTACAGAGTGTTCAAAACAAAAATTTAATTTAATTTAAAATTATATTAATGTTAAACAAAGTATAAAATTAAATTGCTGCTTTTTATCCAATTAGGTTGATTAGATCGATAGTCTGTTTTTATCGTGGGGAAATTTTATTACCTTGTTGTTGCAGTATTTTTATATAACACTCTGTGTGAGGTATATAATACCAACATACTAGTTTAGTGTAGATTGCATTATTGTTTCTGCCCGTATCCACCGTACACTCACATGCGCGCGCCATTATTGTATTAAAGTGGATTGTCGCCGTACGCTCTAGTAATTTGTAAGTCCAAATAAACGTCTCTATCGTATCGTCTATCCGTCTACTTCTACCTGCTGGTGTGGCAGGCGAAGCAAAGCTGTTTTGTGCTGCTGCTTGTCTGCAAATCGGTTTAGTATACCGCCTATAGTCCGTCCGGTCGACACATTCGTCCGCAATCCACGCGTAAATGAAACAGGGTTAATTTAATTGTATTGTGTTGAAAGACGCGCGCGGTCTGTGTGTATATTATATTGGTCGAATCCATGAAAAGTGTAACGCATGCTGCGCGGTAGCACACTGACGTGAATTAAGTGTGCGTCGCGAGTGCGAAATAATAGCCGATAACGAATTGCTGCGGATGAGCATAATGAAAACGGTGATAAATGAAGTAAACTAAGGCGAAATCGAAGCGACGCGCAGGTGGAGAAATGCGAAAGAAGAAAAGCCTGCGAATCGACAGATGTCGATGAAAAAACACATCGTGAATGACAGCAATGCCAACGGAGAACAAAAAATTAACACGAGCGAAGATCTATCTTGATAAAGTCATCAATGCGACTTAGTGTTTTTAACAACATCCATTTACCGGTATAGCCACACATGGTACAGTTTTTTTTATCACATGTTTTTTTTTTAATATGTGGTTTCCCAAACTACTAAGGTTTCATTAAATTATAATTTAATCAATTGTTGTGGTACATTATTGTGAATGCATTAATACACTCGTACGTACACTATTTGTGATGTAGTAGAAACACTGTAATCATTAATCGTTCACCAACTTGTCGCGTATTAATTTCACGTCGACTTTTTTGCAGTTAAAAAACTTGATTAATAAATCCTCGTAGACTCATAAAGTTTCTTAGATTGCGATATGTGGCCTATGCGGAAAATATATCATTGATATTGTTCAACTTTTACTGGTGCGTTAATGCGAATACACGGTTTATGCTTCTTTGAATGAAAGTTGCTAGTACAAAATGTGGTCGTTAATAGTTCCTAGTTTAGTAGTATTACTTGTGTTACTACTACCTTTAGTTTGGACATTACATTTAATAGTTTATGTCTTTACACAAGTAAAGTAGTAGTATGATAGAGTAGGTATAGTGGTAATAATTTGGTTGTATTTTAAATTTTTTAAATAAAAGCAAAGAGATAATGAACAAAAACAGCAGTATAGAAGTAATAAAATGAAGCAATTTACGACACCAGAGAGCGCGCAATGCGGTAGAAATAGGAAATTCTGTGCGCAATACAACCCGATCTGAACCGAAAACTAGAAATAAGAAAGAGGAGAGGAGAAACGGAGAAAGCGGGTGGACTGCTGGGTGATCCAGGCTCGGCTTACACTTTGCTCGGTGCGGGTTGTGCTTTCATACCCGTGGGCCACCCGCAAAAAGTAGTGGGGGAAAGCTTATCATCTGGTGCGCAACCTAAGCGCGCTTAGTCACACAAGGGCCGACGTTGTTGACGGGTGCGCCCTCTCACCAATCCGATGAAAATCGCAAGAGGTTTTCCAAATAAATACTTGGAAAATCCGTAATATATAAATAATAACATTTTAATAATTTAAAGAGAACTCGTTGAATGAATTGATTGATGAATTACATTTCTACACAATGCAACAATATAATGTCTATAAATACAGGTACTTATTTTTCCTCTACAATTAAATGAACCACGTTAAGGAACTAATACAGGCACTATCAAGTATAATTATTGATTGAATAATTTCAATAGATTGCTGCGAACGCAATCAATCATTGATTGATTCAAATAATTTACCTTCTTACGTAATTCTATACAAAGTAAATAAATGTGTCTGAATGTATTGTTTTGCATTTACAGTGTGTGTCAATAATTTAAATCTCCGCAAGCGCTTCCATCAAGGAGTGTGGAACAGCAAACGCTGGTCCTGCTGTAAGGAAACGACGAAATTCAGTACTGGATGCGGAAACGCCACATTCTGGACGCAAACCAACCTCACAATACAAGAGGATTTAGAACATAACAAGGAAAATCAGAAGCAACAGAGTAAGTAAACCGTTTTTTTTTCTTCCACTTTAAGTGTAACATTAACATCTTCATTTGACATTCAAATATTTTCTATTGCGTTGAGTTGAGGCCGAAACCATTTCAGGCCATAATCTAATCCGAAGCGTTTGACATTTCTAAAACTTTTATATCTCCGCTTCGCCATAACAGATTAAATATAAAGAGCACATGTGCGCCAAAAAGGTACAGGCCGAGCCGAGCTTATCCTGCTGCTCTCCTGCTGTTGGGATTAAATTTTATTTCGAGCGATGTTGTCAGTATCGCTGGTATCGATTCGGTGGCCTGATTTAACTGCTTGAATCAACTTCCAGCGTTCCAACGAATATTACAAAGCAATCACGTAAAGAAACTTGTAAAAAAAGCGCTGCGGTTTTAATTGTATGCGGTGATAAGTGGAATAACTAGAATTCGAATGCAAAGCGATTACTCACTCATGGTCTAGCCAATATGTATAGTGTTGATGTATGGGAATAACAACACGTTCGAATGACCGAGAAAAAAACCACATTTAAATGCGCCAAAAAAGCGAAGTTGATTTCAACTGGTGCGGTCTTATCAGAGGGGAACAACAACATGGCGACCCACATTCTACCCACGTTCGGTTATTGTATTGTAAATTGTAAACATTTGGTAACGACTTTTTAAATTCAAATTCAAATTGGTTCGACCGGTATTCTCTCACGTCACGAATCTCATTGTTAAAAATTTATGCTCGAAATTTAAGCGTGAAATTTAAAAAAATCAACTCGAAATACGACAACCGATAAAGTGATAACCGATTTTCACTTGACAACAAAGCCTTTTAAATTCTCGTAAGCACAATCGGAAAAAATGATAATTAGAGGAAATTAATTAATGTCTTCAATGTTTATGCAATTTCAATGACAATACCCCCAGTAATGAATTAATTTGCACACAAATTTCAAGTTGAACTTGACCCATTGTTCCTATCTGATTATAACAATTTAAATATGTGCACATGAATCCATATTTGTTATGATGTGTACATTGACGTGGTACGCCATGCCACGTAGGTACTTTTAATTATCTGCTCATCGGTCGTCGTGCCCGACGATTATAATTACGCCATCGCCATCACAGCGCCAACGATCAACGACCAGCGACAAACAACGTGCGCACATTCGAAGTAGCCAACTAGCAACATAATCAAATTCAATATAACACACCTATTCGACTCCCATGCAAGGCACATACAATAGGAAACCTGTGCAGAACATACACAGTCCTTAGTTAATTATAATTTTTCGCCGTTTAAATTAAATTTACATAAAATTGCAATGAATAAAACACGTTTTGATTCATGTAAATTTAAATTTTCTTTGAACATAGTGTATATAGCGTTCATTTACACTTGGCAATGTTATATGGTAAATCGCGTACATGGTCTCTTCTATTATGCCATTATAATATTCATTATTTTTATTTGAGTTTATGACTGCTGTGTGTGTGTGTATATGATGTGTTTGGCGTTTAGCGTTGTCGTGCCTGATGAATATTCCTCCGGTGTTGTCCGCAGCTGTATTATTATGACTTTGCGCATAGAAATATTTTCAATCGCGAGTGCGACGGTCGTGGACGTGCGCGTCGCGTATGGTCATCGCCTTCCTTTAAACGCTTTAAAGCTCGTCGTATTAACTGTTGCGAAGTGATCCACGGTGTGAATTTTAAATTCATGGTGTTAAAACGCGATTAAACTTTAAAATTTTTAAGTTTGTATCTGCAGCCAGTCTTTAGTGTGTGTGTGTGTGTGTGTTATTATCGTTGTGTTTCAGTGGCTAACGGCGCAATGCTTAACGGAAATTGTTTGAATTTTTCATCGAGCTTATGTTTTAATATGCTTTTAAGGCAGATTTTAAGTGGTTAGTGCTAGCAAATTGTAGCAGTATAAGGAATAGTAGTGATTTGGTTCAGCAGGCGCAGTGATATCTCAATTTGTCATAATTATTTTACGGAATTTGAGCAATACGGTGATAATTTAAGTTAAAGCGCAAATGATTATACTTATTAGAGCAAGCATTATTTATGGTGATTTATATTTTGTCTTAGAATTCATGGAATTTGTTATTTTAAAATATACAGTGTGTATTTTGAATTATATGTCTATATAGGCAACTTAGAGTACATATTCATAATTTTGACTTGCTGGTTGCGTGCAGTAAAGATTAAAAGCATGTATTTATCGTTTTTTAATTGAACCGGAAGGTAACCTGACGGAAGTTAGTAAATTTCGTCTTTTTGTTTATTTGGACATTCATAGTTTTTATATTTCGTTGAATAGCGATGTCATTGGCCTTAATTATTTGAGTAAATGCAATACTAAATTATTGATAATAATAACCACGCCATGAGTATAACCTTAAAAACATATCTGCCATATTAACTTAAGTACTTACCTACTTAGTCCTAAATAGATATTTTTTTTGGAATTTTAAGTGTTTTTTGAGGGACACATGATTTTATTGCAATTAACTCTTTGAATGTTAATTTCATGAAAGAAAAATCATGGTCAAAAATAAATCATCAACACATGCGTCAGTTAATGTGTCATAAGATAAAATTAAAAGTACAAACGAAGAAATAGATATGACAAAAGCATAGATTATGGCTACCATAAAGCGATAAATTTCTTTACTGCTTTTTGATAAATATTTTTTAGTTGTTGGTTAGTTTGTTTATTGTCCTGATGGTCATCTTACAAGTCGTCGCTTCCAGGAACATCAAGTAGCCTATAGATAAACATTCGGCGTGTTGCTGGTCGCGCGGCCGTTACCAGTTTTCGTGCGTTTTGTACTTTTTGTGATCTGCGTTCGATGTGCTCCACGCTGCACACGCGGTTTTGTAATATGTACACATATATTACAATACCTGAGACCGGTCTCCATGTGTTGGTAGCGCGCGTCGTCGACGGTTTCGTGTGTTGGTTGCCCCGTGGTATCGGAAGCGTTTAGTCAACCGAGACCATTGTGCCCGGACGGATGTGCAATGAAAAAAAACCGGACTGGCCCGCGTAACGCCGTAAGCTCTCTGCGCCCAGTTCGATTTTCGATTTAATTCGAATGCGGAGTGGACGCGCTTGGCAGATGCGTCGAGCATGCGAAGCGGAATAATCGCGCTTTATAATCCGCGTCGGTGTTACACATTGTCGCGCGGTTTGCGTTCGCGCCTCGCGACAATCGACGTATTGCCATAGTCGAATTGTCAATTCGTTCAGTACAGTTTGGATATTGTGCGCGTTGAATGCAATATGCATGCTAATCACTATTAAATTGTTGCCTGCAGCCTACATAATCATCAGTATAATCACTAATTGATTTATACCGACAAGAGAGTGAAATTTGTGCGCGTGTGTTTGTCAGAAAGTCTAGTTATACCAATAGTGAAAATATGGTTTTAATCATCGACAAGATGCGCATGTTTACAGGATGCAAATGGAGTTTTTGGCCGCTGGCACCAGGTTCGTTATTAGTTTGATTTATTTTCATTAACAATTTACGCGAACATAGAATAATTTATCGGCACTTAATTGAACTACATCAGCAAACTGTTAAATTATTATCAGCATGACTAAATGGTGTTAAAAAGAACGTGACGAATATTAAAAAAAAAAAACGAAGCACTGAAATGGCAAAATGGTAATTTGTAACTGCGCCGAAAACGAATGAAAAGTGTCAGTCCGGGTGCAAAAATTTAACATTCTCCAGTGAAAGCATTCAAATGAAATGATAATGTAAAGCATTTCTTTTTTTTTTCTATTGCAAGTAAAAAAAGGTCTGTAAATTCCAACCCATTGTTATCAAATTTCTCAGCTGAAATGCGCAAAAAATGCAAAACATTGAATATCAAAGATATGCATAAAATGTTAGTACTATTAAAAAAATATCGTTTTTGCGTATTATCTTGTTTGTTAAATGATACTTTTGTCTGATACTTTAAGCTTCTCTGATTTTTTTTTTCATTACTCATCTTCAGTGGAAGCATTGCCAAACTTTGTAATCTCGGATTAACTATTTTCAACATCTGTTCTTCGTTTTGATATCTTAAATCTAAATGATCATAGCGATTTAAGGCCTAATATCGGGATATTGTTCGCTTAAGGAGCGTCGAAATTTATAACGGAGTACAATGTCGAAAGAACAAAGAGCAAATCAACATAAAGCTACGAAGAAGCACCAAGGCCACGAATAAAAAGAGTATGAATACTCGACGAAATGATAATAAGTTCAAATATTCGTTTTTCATGTTTTATGTTATCAGCGCTCAACTTTTTTGCATTCTTAACTTTCATCGTAGCAGAAATATCAAAAAAACCGAATTGAAAAAGAAAACCACGATAAAATATTTACAACAAAGATTAATAACCACATCCATTGGTGATATAATTTATAGGAACGAAGTTTTCGTGCACAAAATTTACGTTTTAACTTTGGCCACGTTCATGGCTACCCGGCGTGAGCATGGCGCGCATGGGCCATTTGTTTATACACAAACTAATCATACTCATAACGCTCATAACTTATAACTAGCCCATTGCCGACATGCACGTGCTTGTGTATGGGTAAAACTCTGCGTGGAAGCCGTGAGCAAACGTACGAAGGTTGTACGCGTACAGGTAGTTCGTGCGCTGAGAGAAACCTGTCTTCATAAGAACCTAACGGTGTTACGGTTGTTATATGCATGGTGCGGCGTTTCTCGCGCTCGTTGTCAAGGAGCCGATGAAGAGCACCTCGAAGAGGACGCGGATTAAATCACCCAAAGACAACGCGACATGCATATATTTAATAATTGTTAAGCTTGGTTAGGTTCTGTCAAAGGGACACTGGTTTTATTTTCAGTCGTAAGAGGGCGCCACTTTAACAAATTTTAAAGTTTGGTTTTGTGTGTTTGATTTAAGTCTAATGTTTTTTGTTTAAATAAAACTTCCTGTATATTTCTTGACTTTTGCGTTGGCCCGACACACA